TCCACTGTTTCCCTTTGCTTTTGTGATGTCGGCCCCACGGCGTTTTTTTGGCGACATGGGAAGAAATGATATGGCAGGGGAAGGAGTCCATTTTTCCTCTTTACTTAATGCAGCCATTTTTTTCCCAGCGCAAGACCTTCGAGGCAATTCTGACGTTCATTTGAGTCGTGTATTATTTATAACACCGATTTTCGATGAAACGCTGCTGGAGCGCTTCGCCTTCCTCTAGCACGTCATTGGAGCTCCTAAAAGAGCACCTTGTGCTTTAAGTCATTGACCCCCCCCCCTCTCCTCTATTCATCACTCAACAAATGGCGTTGCCCGTAGAGACTCGCGTCCATTACCCGCTGTGAATTCCATTAGAGCTACGGACACACAATGGAGCATTTTTTAAGCCTTTGACATTGCCAATGTAATGGACTGAGGTCATGGAATGATATGTAGGGTAGGGTGCATAAAAGCCTGCTTAAATATATGTTACTGTACTTTATGGCTTTCACATTATAGGCCGATCCTTTCACCTCTATCCTAAGAGCTGCTCGGGGGTGTCACATAGGAGTTTTTCTGAATACATCTTTCCCAAATGAATCATTGACCCCCCCATGACCTCAATGCACAGAACACAATGGGGTTGTGTGTTTGAGGGTCGCATTCATATAGGTCATTAAACCCAAGGTTCACCTGGTGCCACCGGCCGTGTAAATACAAACACAGCGAGCAGTGTTTAAAGAAAGTCTCCTCTACCTGAAAAAGGCCGTATTGGGCTTTTGGGGTTTTCTCTTTCCTGTAGTGTGTTTGATTGTTGTGTTATATCTTTGTGCATGTAAACGTCTCCATTGGACTGCTTTGATTACCTCCGTAACAAAATGACATCACTATGCACTTGCGCTTCTATTGGCTAGCGCTCCAACTCATTTTACGTGATGAGGCTAAGAGGTGGGACATCTGTAAGCGGATGACCAATCACAACAGAGCCGGCCAGCTAACCAATCCAAGCAGACTGGGCTCTGGTTTCAGACAGAGGGTGAAAAGAGGTGCTGCAGCACAGGCAGTGTGAGAATTTATTTTTCCAATATTAAAGCATGGAAACGTGTAGATCCACAATATTAAACCCAGAAGCCTCAACAATTGTCCAAAGACTGAATTCGATTTCATTTTGCATCTGAAGGTTGCTGCTTAAGGACAAGTACTGTGTGAAGGATGCCTGAACCTCACGACCACCTGAAGAAGAATACCAGAGAATACATTTTGACATTTTCAAGGGTTCCACTTTACAGGATATCTTTGAAGTCTACCTTGTGAATGATAGATCGCAATAACTGTTTTGTCCGGTTTGGGTGTTGCGCACGTTTTGGTCCTACAATTAACTTTATGAATTTTAAAGTGTAATATTTTGGTTAGCTTAAAAAAAGTTTTGCTAAATGTTTGGATGTACTTAGATCTCTGGTGTCAATTATCCTCCAAATTAATCAAATGGAAAACTCAAGGTTTCAAAATGGTGGTCCACAGACCAAAGGTTAATTGGTTGCAACTACAACTTATTTATATAGTCTATGGCTTTAAGGTAGCTGGCAACACATACAGTACTGACCATGTCCTTTGGATTGTTACTCTGTACCTCAGCCTGTGATTGAACTCAAGAGGAACTCGGGTTACTCCCATGTTTCCCTCCAGTGTCCCCCCCTTTTCCTCCTCACGCTTAATGTTTTTGAAGCAGATCCATAAAGGAATTGATTTGAATTTCTTGCTCACATTGAAACTATTTAAACTTAGCGGTACACCCAAGCAATTCTAATCATGACAATCACACATCCTCTAATATTGACTTTGTCTCCCAGAACATGCAGTAAAAGTGACACCTTTTAACCTTAAAAAAAAGACCATAACACGGTAGAACAGTTTTGGATTTTGAATATAAAAACATACATACAGTACGCACATTGAGCAGATTTTGGGTTGCTTTTCCAGAGATTAGATAAGCTAACTGCTAACGGCTTCAAATTAGTTGAACTTTAGAAAACATGTCTACAAAGAGTGGATTTTTTCCCACACCTCAAGTGTCACTTCAGGGCGGAAATAATTATCACAGTTACTATTTCCATGCTCATATGGCCATTTGAGTGTAAAATTAGGTTGTATTTTTGGTTTGATCGTGAGCTAAATTACAAAAAACGACCTGCAAAATCCTCATGATCTGCATCACTGTGTGAGTACCTGTGTTGTTTATCACTTGTGGAAACGGCCTTGGCAGATTTGCCCTCTCTTCATGCCCTTCTAGTACCATATTGTCTCTTTATTATTTCCTCGAAGAGGCTTTGTCCAGGCTGCGCTCCTCGAGCTGTGATGTAATGCAGCGTCTCTCCGGAGGGCAGTGATTGTTATGTTGCAGAATTAAGCTCCGTAAGTAGCTTCCCCCAACGCTGATGGCATGAGCAGGGACACGTCCAGCTGTTCAGTGCTGCCAAAGACCAAAGGACCTTCAAAAGGGTGCATTATCAAACACCTCAAGGTCGTACACGTGAATGCACGGAGCATCTTACCTCTGCAGATAAGGCCAACCTGTCTGAGTGATGGCAGAGTACCTGAGGAGAGAACCCTCACAGAGAAACTCTCCACTCCCTGCTATCAAGCATCAGACATGATTACAGCTCTGCTCCCTGATCCAGTGCCTGTCTCAGCCCACTCCTCGCACTCCTCATGAAACTCTCCCGCAGCTAAAGTCATCAAACAAGGAGCTCAGACAGAGACTTGACCCCGCTGTGACATTTGTTAAAGTCATACTTCAAATAGGAACAATTTGTCAAACATCTTGTGTGTTATTCTGAGGGGAATGAGGAGCAGTTTTCCCTGGAGTCGTGTTTTACTGCTGAGAGGAGGGAAAGGCAGAGATGTGTGTATTAATTCAGGCAGGCATACAAACAGGAAATGCTAGACCAATGTTGTGACCAAACAGTCCATTACCACAGTGTAAGAAAGTAAAGCAATTTAATGACATCGAAAACACCAATTAACATTTTTAACATGCAATGGCTGAATTTTTTTTTTACAAAACATTGCAATTTTCAGATCATGGTGCTAATGTTAATGCTGAACCACATGAAGCTTGGGTTTTGAATGGCAGGAGGCCTATATTGAAAGTAACAGAGTAAGGCGTGTTAGGAACTAAACTGTGTCTATGATCTCCACAGGGTATGTATAATACCATATAACCAGATTACAAAAGAAGTCTCAAATGCATTACAGGTACTGTGCATTTTCTTCTTAAATGGGCACTTATTTGTCATGGCAATTGAAAGAAAATTGGGCATCTCACAGCATATTTCTAATGGAAGAAAGAGGGATTGTGGGACGTGAAGCATATGGCATTGTTGAAGCTTAACCCATACAACAGCTGTTTCCATTTTATCCACTATATTTTTAAATGCACAAGTTCCCAAATGGTTATGAAACACTATGGAATTACAATTATGAATCACATGAATTACTGCTTTAAAGGAAAAGTTTGATGTTTTTGAAAATGTATAATTCATAATTTGGATCAATAACTTTATGTTAAGCTAAGCTAACCGTCTGCTAGCTGTAGTCTCAAATGTACAGTATTGACAAATCTTTTGAAGCTCGACCCAAACTATGGACTGTTTCCGTTATGTTTATAAATGAACAAGTCCTCAAACATTATGAAACACTATGAAAGTACAATTACAAATCACATTATAACTTCTTTAAAAGGATTAGATTGATGTTGTTGGGCAAGTTTAATAATGTTTTAGATCATTCATGGACTGGCTTTGTTACCTTTGGGACCAGAACCGTTTGCTAAACTAAGCTAACAGGCTGCTAGCTGTAGCTTCAAGCTAACAGGCTGCTAGCTGTAGCTTCAAGCTAACAGGCTGCTAGCTGTAGCTTCAAGCTAACAGGCTGCTAGCTGTAGCTTCAAGCTAACAGGCTGCTAGCTGTAGCTTCAACCTACAGGCTGCTAGCTGTAGCTTCAAATTTACCGTAAAAACATTCTCAAAGATTAAAAGCCTATATCCCAAAATGTCAAACATTCCCTCTAAAGACTATATCTTTATAGTATACCTAAATCATGTTTTAAGAGCAATTTTATTTAAAACATCCGCAACTGGCAAAAGTAGGCTACCATTGTAAAATTGTTTTTCTACAAACTGGATTCAACTACAGTTGTACTTTTAATACAAATTCTGGTAAAAAGAAGTGACTGGATTACACATCCATTTTTTATAATCCGATGAATGCAAATGTTTACTTGTTTAGAATATTTGTAGCCTATATTTCTTCCATATCTGTAATAGCCAACACAGTCTCACGGCATTTCGTGTTATAGTCACGAAATTAATCTATTGATTCGTGTTCACCAACACGATTTCGCCATTTTTTTCGTGTCACACAGAACGATTTTAAAAGCAATGTAAATAATAACAAATTAGAAGGAAAAAAAGATGACATAAAATACAGATTTCAGTATTCTGAGGCTCTGAGCCCCATTTCTTTTCCTCACTGACGGCAAAAAAACTCAGACATTATACAATTTAAAATAAAAGGGATAGGGTTAGGCTTAGGGTAAGATATTGAGTAAGAACATGTTTTTATGAACCACACAGCTTCTGGTCTTCCAAGACCCGACCGGACAATAAGACGTGTTGCAGGCACGAAACACACTACCAATAGAAATACATTGCATTTAAAATCGTTCTGTGTGACACGAAAAAAATGTGAAAATCGTGTTGGTGAACACGAATCAATAGATTAAATTAATTTCGTGACTAATAACACGAAATGCCGTGAGACTGGGTTGTAATAGCAGTGTACAGGGCTGTTATGGTAAGAACAGACTGATCTGTCCATTTAAATGCTAAACAAGATATAATAGCTACATTTAATTTTAACATCACAGGGAGCTTCATGACTCAATCACTGTTTATGATATGTAACGTTCCTTGTTATTTACTCAGGTACAAAACCACCGCAGATAGAATAAGTTAATAAGCAACCTTTATACACATCTTACATTATATTTAATGAATCAATTTCAAATATAAAATGTCAGTATTATGCTCCAATTGAAAAACAAATATCAACTTGATATTCCCACGTAGGCTATCTGTGGCCTGCTACAAGATGATATACCATCTCCATAACATGATGGGTCACAGAGTTTCCTAACATTTGTACAAACAGTGCGTAATGCAGATAAAAAAGAAAAGAAAATCCAAGCCCTCTAAACTTTTTGTGTGAAATAATAATTATAAAAAAAGGACGTACAATATACACTCTATATACACAGCATTTAGTAATGGTCACTCTGTTGCAACTTGACAAAACGGAGCTGTATAAAATGAGGGTGGCAGTAATGACGCATTACGATTGACACAACACTCTGTGCTCGGTGGATAATGTCTGTCTGCTCTGGTTCCTCCCTGCAGGTTTCAATGTCCGTACAGGGGGGATTTGGAAGATCCCGCTCCTCACGCCGGGGTCTGAGCGGGGGCTTTGATCTCGGCGGACACCCTCTTCTCCTTTCGCCCGGCGTACTCTCCGATGAAGGACCCGTCCTCGTTGAACTGGACGTCCTCGTCTCCGTAGTCCACCAGGCTGTCCCCGCTGTCCCCCGCTTTGATCTCTCTGCTCAGCGAGCGCTGGCTGCCCTTCAGTGGCTTCTCGTCATTGTCACTGAGAGGAGAGGGGAACGTGGGGGGGGGATTTAGAATCACCTTATTTCACCCATGGCTTCACTCTGGGGCTTATAGGAGAGGACGGGGGTGCTGTCTCTACAACAGGGATGTCAAACTCAATTTCATCGCGGGCCACATCAGCATTATGAGTGGCGGATCTAGACCAATTTTACTGGGGGGGCCAGGCTGGGGCCAGTTATTTCATGAGCGGGGCACAATAAAAGCGGGTTAAAAAGACAAAGACAGTATAAAGTAATTGTGTAAAATAAACAAAAAATACAGTAATTGGTATTTGTTTTTGTAAAGGTATTTGTTTTAGTAACTTTAAGTGACAATTTTATTAAAAAACAAACAGTTTTTGCTTTCACATAAGGTAATGAACCGTTTAATCTCCACTGTACATCCGGGTCTCTGATTTTATTTAGTTCCAATAAATTGTAATATTGTAATATTGTAAGGGGGGCATTATGAGCATTATCGTTGCACTCAAAAGGGCCGGTTGTAACTTTAAGACTATATAAATATACATATATAAAATAATGTATTATATAACATTATTGCCTCTGCATTGGATTATTATCGGATAGGGTAATAACTTCATAATTAACTACGTCTGAAAGCAGAAGTCTAGGGCAAATAATTACAAGTCTCTTCAGTGTCACAAAACGAGATGCATTGTGGGACATGTAGTTTATGGACAACGTGCTTCTGTAAAGCTGCATGTAAATGTATAATAAACGTATTATATTCTTTGCAAGCTCTTGCAGGGCCACATAAAATGAGGTTGCGGGCCGGATTTGGCTCACGGGCCTTGAGTTTGACACCCCTGATCTACGATGAGCCTCTGGGACTGACTTTGGAATAACTGACCAATGGGAAACGATCACAGAGGCCTACAGTATACTGAGTGTGCATCAATGCATTTGGCAAAGTCAAGAGAAATGAGGGTACATTAAAGTAGTGCACTTTATTGAAGCTGCACATGCTTTGGGACCCATCTATTTGCCAAAATACTTAACTTGCTGTATGAATGTAATTTGTTATTCAAAGCTTCTATTCGAAAAATTAGATTTCATTTTGATTGTGGCCTCATATGGATCACAGGTTTTTAAATAAATAAAATGTTTGATTTCTATAATGCTAAAAGTCAACAAATAAGGATAAAAATAAAATATTGTTTTAGAAAAATACTGTTTGTGAATCTTTGTTAGGTGAATGTTGATTTTGTACTTTAAAAAGCTTTTGAGTTATTGTTCATGATTGCATCGCCTACGCAGTCATCTCTGGAATCTAAATTGAATGACCCTAAAGCGGAGCCTAGTCTTTATCTGCAAATCTGCAGAAATACCAGGTTCAAACAAAGTGAAAAGAGATTCAAAGTAACAGTTAAAAAGCTGGGCAGTATTGAAATAAATGTTCCTTTTGAATTTGAATCTCAAGGTTATGAATAAAGCTTTGTACATTTTTCGTAGAACCCTTTTTGGTTCATAATTGAGTCTCTTTCTGAATTCCTGGTGACCCTATAGCCTTTGACTTCATGTTACCTTCGAGCCACGTGCACCAGTTATTAGCAAAATCAAAAATAGGCTAGTTATATCAGAATTATTCATCAGGTGAAGATTAAGGCATTCAAATCCGTTTAAGAATACAAGTACTTATTTGATACTTGTTCGTATCTAAAATAACTTTAAGAGCTAATACAAATTTTGTATTTAATGTCTTTCATTTTTGTAAAGCACTTTGAATTGCCTTGTGTTGAAAGGTGAATAAATAAACTTGCCTTTCCTTAGATTTCTGAATATTGTAGCCAACATGACAAAGTTTAAATGGTGCCACACTGAGACCCTTTGGACTCTGTGACACCAGCAGGAGTGTTACTGTGCAGATTGCTCAGTAACACTGGGACTCACACTGCGGTAGTTATGAATTGGACCGCTGCAGGATTAATGAAACGTGTCTACATATGACTGCCCGGGAGATGAGCAGCTTTCAATTACACTGATTGTTTTCCACCACCTGCTGTGCACCGGGCAGCCTCAGATCCTTCCGGACAAACATGGCAACATGTGCTGCTCCCTTTATGATGCAACGTCTATCACAAACAACAACACAGGAGATCACAGAGTCCTATAAAGGGATGCTAGCACTAAGACAACACTGATGCGTAAACAGCTCGGGGATGCTAACCGCTGTTTATCACATACTTTACTCAAATGTCTCGGACAGAAGACCGAGGCTCCAGCTGAACCTCGTGCATTCTGGGTTGGCTTTTTTTCGGCAAGAGGAGGAATGCAGCGAGAAAAATGTCGGAAAGAAAGGACAGTTTCATACGGTGTTGCACGGGAATTGCAGTGAGATGGTGAAATAGCGCTTCCAGGCTTACGCTTACCTGTATTCACAAAATGTGTCGTCATTCATGCCCTGGGACTCCACGTCTGGGTGAAGGTCCTCTTTTTCTTTCACTGCTCACAGAAAGAAAAAGAAGATATCAGTGACTTCCTCAAGAGGCGGCTGCCAAATAAGATCACAAGTGTTCCCCTGACTGCTGGGCTGTTTGAGCTGAGCTTTAAAGTGTCCTCGACTTCCTGCACTTATTTACTGAATACAACGTCAGTGCACGCCTTTGAACTTAGTGACATTTGGCTAGCTTTTCCAAGACGTTTTATCTGATTCCAGTCATTTGAAATCTTATTTTGGATAATCTTGCTTTATCTTGTATATCGTGGTTCCCACACCTTGATGTTCAAGGACTATTTAGGCTCACTTGCCTTTAATATGAGGAGCCAACATGGCATAGTTAAAGGTAGGGTAGGTAAGTTTGAGAAACCGGCTCGAGATCGCTAGAATTTGAAAATACACAACCGGAGAAAATCTGCCACTTCCTTATAGAGCCCCTCCTCCAACACACACATGACCAATGAGGGCACGAGATAAGTTTGTGCACAGATGGAAGGCTGACAGGCAGGTAGGCCATCCAGTTATTTTAGCCGGGCCGGCTAAAATGATTGGTCGTGCTTTTTACAGTACTACGGCTTCCACAGATGACATTTTTTTATGGATTTTTTGTCAAAGCACTTAAGATATTCATTGCTATCGGGATGTTGAGAGCATTCCATGGAATATAACAAAAAGTGTATCTCGAGCCGGTTTCTCAAACTTATACCCTACCTTTAATACAGTTAGACTATGTATTTTAATGCATGATGCAATTATTATAACTTGTTACACTAAGGGGATAGTTGAAAAGAGTCAGTATATATATATATATATATATATATACATATATATATATATACCTGTAAAAGCGCTAACAAAATAAATCTATTATTATTATTATATTTAAAAGTTGATTCTGTAACAAACGGAAGAGGATTAGGGCCACATGTGCATTTTTATTTAGATCTGACTAAAGGTGAATTTTCTTATTTTTTTTTCAGAATTCTGACTTTAATCCCACAATTCCCATAAAATCACTTTTGGTTTGACCTTAACAAAAATGTCACATCTGAAGTGAGAAAATGATTTATGACGTGTTAGGATTATTGTTATAAAGCATTATGAATATGTATCTGTGTTTATGACCAAAATAATCCAGAAGATTAAAGTTTGATCCTAATGCAATTTAGACATGGACAGTGCTTCAAGTAATTACACAAAAATGTTAAAATCAACATGCTGACTTTGGAACATAGCCCATGTATTAATATTCAGTTAACAGAACAATGTAAAATACATTTCTATTTCTGTGATATATACTTTTTAACAAGTTGTCAAGGATTTTAATGACCTGTGGGAACCCAAGTTGTTAAGAATATATATCATTTATACAAAAATTATTTTTGTACAAATGCCAAATCCAAAATAGAGTTCACATTAAAGAGTACGGTTGTGTAATGTGATGTAACGGGGTTGCTGGAGCTCCGGGTGATAATGAGAAGTTAATGAGAAAACAAAGGACAGAGCTGCGCCTCGCTCTTTTTTCTGCTGACGAGTGAAGCCATCTCTGCCCAGACGACAACCTGACGGCCATTAGCTGTGAATAATAAAAGCCGATAAGGACTCTCCGTGTCCCCGACAGGAGGAATAACATTGAGAAACCACAGAGCTTATGTCACCATCCCCTGCTCAGCCACCCCGTGTGCAGCATTTGCATTTTGTCTCGCTGTGGGCTGCACTTTCTTTCGATTGTTGCTGGAAAAAAGCTGCGTGTCCAAATAAATTCAAATGCTGGACATACAGTAGATTTTCCTATCAATACACCAGCCCTGTTTCATGTTTAAATTTCCATTAAAATAATTGTGTGGCTGCGAGAAAAAAAAACAAAAACCCTGCTGTAATGGCCTCGGGTGTGATTGATAATTTCTTTCATACAACAAACAGCCAAATGGAATTATAATGATGCTCCGAGCAGCCATTACTATTCAAGCAAGGTGATGTGTGTGAGTGTAAGTGAGCACCTACCGGAATATTTCCCTCCTTTATTTCTGTTGACAAAGCAGGCGATCAGCACAATGAGCGTGAGGAGAGCGATGGCGCACATCAGGCCGATAAACCAACCCTGGGTGGAGATTCCTCCGTGGACGCTGGCCAGGCCTGGGGAGAGGAACAAAAGCCGGTGACTTTGACACGCCTTGGCCTTTTCACCGAGACACTTGATTGAATGTTTACATCGACAGAGCCTATCTGATGCCGAGGCAGAAAAGGTGGCAGGGCTCGCTGCTGCTGATGGAAACGCTCCAATATTAATATTAAACAGCTAATCCTGCTTGTCTAATTAATCAAGTAAGGAACGCTGTACAAATGTAATTTGTACTCTCGCCGAGTTCGTGCGGCTAAATTAAATCCTAGCGACAACACTAAGGACCGCACACTGTCAGCGCTCAAGGACAAGGATGAGGCTGCGCTTTTTAATGAGAGGCCGATTAGTTTGGCCTGCTTTTCTTTCTCTTTGGTTTCCCTCCTCACCCCACGATGTAACGGTGAATACATCTCCAAATACGTATACTAGAGTTATAAGGAATAAGGCACACAGTGTATTCGGTGGATGTGTTAGTACTATTGAATCCACTGAAGAAACAAATGTAAAAGACTGTTTCTGACACAACACATCAAGAGTTATTAAACGTTTCCCTCCAACAACTGCTGATGTTCTGATACCATATCTCCTTCCTGATTAGTCAGTAAAAACAAAACTATATATATTATTTGGTCTACCAGCCCTGTATGGATGTGATATGATTGCTATCACCGTATCATTGGCCTGGCTTAGGTCAAACCCTTTCCAGAACATAGAGATGCCTAAATCAAGTTTTTAAACCGGCAGTTACTAAATAATACATTTACTGATAAGAGCTGAAATGCATTATATTCAACCTCTGTTAATGTTAGCTAAGAACGGCTGCTAACAGCTAGCGGTGATTAGCTCTCCTCATGGAATTTTTTTCCACAGTTTAGTTGTTTATATAGCATTGTTGGAGATCTGGGACTAAAAGGCATTAATAATGATCGCATATTTATAGTGAAAATCGGCTAACCAATAGGGGCATTCAAATATGTAAAACATTAATACATACAGAGAATGATGCCATGGCACTTTTGTCAAACTAGGTCATAAAAAAGTCAGTCATAATGGTCCTAAATAAATCCATAAAAAATATAGGAATAAATAACAATTAGGTTACCAAATAGCTAAAATGCTTTCACAATTTATGACCGAAAGGGTAAGATTGCTAACTCATTAGCTGTAGATTGCTAACTCATTAGCTTTATCCATCATTGATTGATTTTTAACTGAAGCCAATCACTGTACTGTATATAAACAAGTCAGCCATCTTGTTACTTTCTCATCCTTTTCGAGAGTTGCACATGTGCTGTACTGATTGAGCCTGATGTAAGGATCTGGTAGTGAGTGATGCGTGTTTGCGATAATGAGATAAGGTGATATTGGATCGGGGCATAGATGCGTTATTTGTCATTTGAGGCTGTATTGAAAGTAATACTGGTATCGATATCGGAACACATCCACTAACACCGTCCAGAGACGAAGTAGAATGAGCTCACAGTTCTTCATATGTGCAATATATATATATACTCTGCTCCAGATATCCAGCTGTTATTAGCAAAGCTGTCACAAAGAGCTGAGCTAAAACTCAACAGGCCTGGGACTGCAGGAGACAGAATAGAAAGGAGAGGAACGGCAAACAAGGGTTAGTAGAGGACACAGCACCTCAGCGCCAGCATGGAGGGGTTAGGATTGTTGTCATTATGCGATGAAGGATGTCGCTCTTCACCTTCTCCGAAAAGAGGAGAGCGCGCTCTTCTGTTTCCTAACACTATTGTGAGGAGGTATCAATTATGTCTGACAGAGGGGACAGGAGGTGACAGCCAACATGACAAGAGTAATGTGGATATGGAAATGAAGATGAATGGAGATCTACAAAGTTGTGCAAGGCAATTCTTCCTTCAAATCTATGTGATGGGGTTTTAAATGTTCTTCATAGGTCATGTGTTTTTGTCATTTAACAGAAATATATTTTACACAGCCAGGACAGTCAACACATTTTTAAGTCATACAATTTCACTATTGATTTTAGAGATAAAGTACTGAGGAATTGCACTGACTTTTTTCACCAGAAAGATGCTAAGAAAAACTTTGAGATTTCTGGAGGAAGCTCTCATTTATTTGGGTTTGTGACATATGGAGATACACTTGTGTTTAAAGGGGCCTTTAATGCTAATTTTCAGGTTCATACTTGTATGTTGTGCCTCTGCTGTGACATGTTCACATGCTTTAATTATAGAGAGTATTGTTATTAGTCTACAAGATACAAGTTTTGCCCAATTTCTGACACACAAACCTATTTAGACTGGAAGTAAACGAGAGCTTCTCTGGGGATGTTTGGGATCTAATTAGCTCGGGAAAACAGTCAACTTTCTCCAGATTAAAATATTCCTCAAAGTTGTAATCAATTATCTTATTCAGAAAACAAAAGAACATTTTATTTTCTTAAGTTGATTCATTGTTGGTTCTGTATAAAAGCAACATGAAACAGCCTGAATCAGACAACGTTTGGCATTGATATTTATAATTAAAATGATCAATGTGACCATGAGCATGTTTGGTGAAAAACAGTAAATCTGGATCAGCCTTTGAAGCAAACTAAATAAATGTAATTCCAAGCAGCTTTGAGGACATGATATGTATATTGACATTGTCCTCAAATGGTATCAACATCCCCGGATGATTTGTTTTTCTTTGAGCTATCCAATTATAAGTGGGCATTAATAAATATCCTACATGTTATATGCTTTGAAAACAAGAGCAAATGAGATGTGCTTTATCTGCCTCAGACGGATCATGTAATGTAGCCATTGATACCCAACTGGGAAGACAAACAATCTAATAATGTGGTGAATGATGTGCATCATTAGTATGGGGAAAGTCCGCTTTGACAGCAGCTGTCTAAGCCAGTCAACAAAGCTCAATCCACTTCATTTCCCCACGGCAAACATGCAAATCTTCTGCTGCGTCTCCAGCTCAGGTGCATTATTTGCTCAGGTGATAATTCAGGCACACAAGGACACCTGCGTCTGCGCTGCCCATCCCAAACACTGCCAGTGACACCCTCTTGCTAATGTTGATGGATTAGTCTGCAAACTATGGTAATTCCAATTATTAGAGCTGGGCGATGACTTCCCCTGACATAGGCCGCCCAAACTAAAAATATCCCAAAGGCTGGCAGCCGGTTTTCGTCACCACGTTTCTCAGCTTGTTATTAAATCCTGCAAAAAGCAGTTGCTCTCGCAGCAGGGAGCCAGAGCCCTGGAAGATGCCCCTTCAAAGTCACACAGATTTTTTTTTCGGAGGAGAGGCCAGGAAATATTCTGATATAGGAGCTTCCAACAGCTTCCACTTATCCACTTATCTCAGTGTCCTGTAAATATCACCCTCCCAGTATGAGCTCACACCGCCGTCGGCGACCAGGAGGATGTTCACACTCGCTATTTTCCCCTCGGCTAAGAAGCGGCCCCGAGCATCTTCTTGTCCCCTGAGCTCGCTGTTTACCCAGTTGAAGATTACATGGAAATGTCAGGTGACTGTTGGGTCAATACATGGCGTGTGCTGGGGGGAACTGAGGCCCAACAAATCAATCACTGACAATTAGACATATTTGTTCCCTTCAAGTGACTGCGCTACACTGTCGGGTCGGGATATAGATCTAGTATCTTAGATTTCCCCCAAGGTAACAGAGGAGAAATTAAAACGGGCTTCTTCATCAGTATGCACTTGTCCTATAAGAAACAAAACAATGGAGCTGTTGTTTTGCAATTCAACCCTTCTTTCTACTGGAAACAACACCTAGTATTACAAAATAAATCTGCAAAAGGAAGTATGGAAACCCTCTGAGGCAGGTGAGAACATGAATCATCAGAATAGTTGTTTATTTCTGGTCTGGTCTATTTTTTAGGTTATAGGTAGTCAGGTCCTTTCTTCTTTTTTTCTTATATGTACCTCGTTAAGATTATTATTATTACTGGCTGCTACTTCTTAGACTATTTAATACTATAACAATAATCTGTGAATAGCTGTGCAAAATACGTTTTTAACAAGAGGTAGTAGTGCAATTGAGCCTCTTGTGGCTGAAATAAGAATAACATAAAAACAAAACACATTTTCACCTATTAAAAGTTATTTTTTTACTGTTAAAAAAGTCATATTATCCTGGAAAACCTTTTTCACCTGTTCTGAATTATTTTCTCGTTTATAAGTTATGTTTACGACCTAACTTATTTTCTCTCGTTGGCCTCTCAGGGCTTCTGTAAATAAGTCTATATTAGATTATAACATTAGACATCTGTTATCACTTTACTTTAAACCCACAGCCCAACCAAAAGCATCTGAAATCGCATCACCTAGCAACTACAAACTTCTTATTTATCCATATTTATTCCCCCCTGTTTGCCTCCGTGATACTGATGGTGAAATGGGTTTGTAAATAAATATAAATTAGATATAAGTAATGTGTTTACATTCAGAGTGCATGGAGAAACTAAAACTGGAAGAAAAAAAAGATTTAAGTCCTACAGTATATTAGGAACAAGAGGTAGTGATGCAGTGGAGCCTCTTGTGGCTGAAATGAGAATTACATTAAAACTAAATGCAATGATAAAAAACAAATTCACTTATTAAAAGTTTTTTTTTTTACTGTTAAAAAAGTAAGTAATATTAACCCGGAAAAGCATTTTCACGTGTTCTAAATAATTTTCTTGTTTATTAGTTATGTTAGTTTTTCTCTCATTGGCCTCTCAGGGCTTCCGTAAATTAGTCTATTAGAGATCTTTCTGAAATAATCTGGGGGAAATCACGTCACCTAGCAACTGCAAACTGTTCCGACAAAGCATAATGGTTTCTTATTTTTCCATATTCATTCCCCCCTGTTTGCCTCCGTGATGCTGATGTGTCAGAATGTGCTGCAGCTCTACCTATGGTGGAGCGAGTGGGTTTGGTCACGGGGGACCTTCGAGTGCTCGGAGGTGAGGGGGAGGCTGACTTGCCTGAAAAGAAAGACAGATCTTGTGGTTATCAATAGGGAGTTAGCTCGGGAGCGCTACGTTTCTACTGTTAGCACGCATGCTATTTTAAACAAAAATTAGTAACTAAGTGTGAAACATGATCTACCAAAAACAAAAAATATTGTAACTGTGTTCATACCCAAGGTAGATGTGATTTTTATCTTGCCCGAGTCATCTTTTTGAGCTTTCATTTTAAAAGGGATTCCTTTATTTTTGTTCATGATTAATAGGTAGAGGGATGTCTGATGCTCTTCCTACGTTTGGCTCTTGAAGCATCATTTATTTCCGCAGCTTGAGTTAGACGTGTTGCACTGACTGCTGTTGCTGGGATAAAAGTCAATATTCGTTTACAGTCACTAATGAGCAAAGATTAATATGAATCTGTAATTAGGTTACTCATTAGCATTGCTAATTGTGAGGAAGCCACAAACTTTATTTAAAGAGAAGTTGACGATTTTCTAATGAAAGGAGGCATCAGAGTGCTCTCTGCTGATGGCAAGGGCAAACAGCAGACAAGGTCAATTATCTGCAGAGGAGCTTTTCTCATTCTGTACTGGAAAAATATCATGTGTTTGAGAAACCCTGATGATTTATTCAGGCCTGTATCACCCACACCTGCTAACATGTCTACATCTAAAGCAGGGGTGTCAAACTCAATTTCATCGCGGGCCACATTAGAATTATGGTTGCACTCAAAGGGCCGGTGGTAACTTTAAGACTATATAAATATACATAGATAAATATACATAATAAATATAAAATAATGTATTATTTTACAATATTTCCTCTGCATTGGATTATTATCGGATAGGGTAATAACTTCATAATTAACTACGTCTGAAAGCAGAAGTCTAGGGAAAATAATTGCAAGTCTCTTCATTGTGCATGTCACACAATGAGATGCATTGTGGGACATGTAGTTTATGGGCAACGTTCTCCTGTAAAGCGGCACGTAACATTATAATAAACTTATTATATTCTTTGCAAGCTCTTGTGGGCCACATACAATGAAGTGGCGGGCCGGATTTGGCCCCCGGGCCTTGAGTTTGACACCCCTGATCTAAAGCATGCACACGCTACTTACAAATAACTGGCATGACTGATACACATGTCATACCAACCCACGGCAGATTAATGAAACATATATATCCACATTGCATTTGCAGGTATGACATGCCACAGTCTCTACGTGAACACAGATCTACATACTGATGCCAACAGGGGAAGCCAGAGTGGAAGCTGCGAAGGAAAAAAGAAAGAAGGGACAAGCAATGCTAAGCAGACATTTACAATACACACTGTGTGTTCAAAGGCAGTGCTCAAAGCGCTTCTAGTGGCGTAAGAGAAAGCAGGACAATTAACAGGAACAACACCGACATGCACACACAGCGATAGCACAGCTGCGACGAATAACTTAGGAGTCTTGCACACACACATGTAACAGCTCCGCACATTCCCATACATATACAATGAGTCCCGGTAATTATTTTCTTTTTTTTCTGCTGGCTTTTCAACATGCAAATAGACAACTCCTAATAGCCAATTAAGTTTGTTTTCTGTGATTGTAAGGGTTTCTTCCAGTTAACAATAAGTAATCACTCGCAGTGTGTCTCAACTTTACGTTGTTGTTTTGTGTTCACTACCAAAATGATGGGCTTTTGTCATAGGGTTGTCTGTATTAACCCTTAAATTGTCAATAACATATACATATTTTGGCAAATTAATTGCTTGCTTTTTTTCTACATTACATTCATATAACACTTTTATTACACCCATTGTACACTGTTATTAGACCCACACCTGAAGACTAGACTATTCACTATTTCTACTATATTCTATTGTATTTTATTTACTTGCATAATTTTATCTGTTTATTGTGTTGCACTGTTGGAGGAGCCTGTGACCTAAGATGTTCATTGTCATAACTACACTGTAGCTATGCACAAATGACAATAAAAGCCTTGAGTCTTGAATCATATTACATTACATTACATTACATTACATGTTACTTGTTAGACGCTTTTATCCAAAGCGACTTACATAGTCAATACTGTGGACAATCCCCACAGGAGCAATTTGGGGTGAAGTGTCTTGCCCAGGGACACAACGACATGCTGACTGCAGTGGGGTTTGAACCTGTGCTCCCCTGATCTGAACACCAACGCCCTACCCACATGCCTATTACACAAAAGCAACAGCAATATTGCAACCATTGTTCACTGTTATTAGACCGATACAACACCCATGTAACACCACTATTGACCGTGATTACACTATTATTGAACCCATTTTACACATGGACACAGCCTGTCAAATGATTGGATCCCCCAGGATAGAGAAACCACTTAAGGGTTAAAAGCGCCACCCAATTATTCATGCTGACAATATCTGTTGCTGCAGTCCATTTGGACTCAGGTGGAGTTTCCCGTTTCATTTCCTGTCCAGTCTCTCATAACAGCTGCAGTCCTCAGCAAATGATCCGTAATTGAAAATAAAAGATGACATGCTTGGAGCCGGCTCATTATGATTACTTACCCGGCAACTCTTCTCATGATCACACAATTCACTATGAAAACCTTCAGTTTCCCCCCCTGCTCAAAGCAATTTTGTTTCTTAGCTGATTGTTTCATAGCTCACGCTCTCCATCCAATCAATAAGCACTTGCTCTCTCATGACAGTGACAAATGAAAACCTCCACTGCACCCATATGAAATTGTTTATCCACAAAAAATACTTACATGGAGATATGAAAAGCTTGGCTGCCCAGGCATTGATCATATTCCGCTAGTTTTTGAAAAATAGTGAAATGGTTTGGTCCCCTGCTTCCACTTCCTGAACGCCTCAAAGCCCGTCTGTGTTTCCATTGTCTCCTTCGCTTATCCACACATACACCACCCACTCAATTGCTTTCATCACTCACTTGTTTCCAGGGTGGTGGTGCACTCCTCGCTGCTGATGGGCCCGCAGCCCATGGTGGTGCAGGAGCGCAGGTACAGCTTGTATTTGCTCAAGGGTTCCAGGTCGCGCAGGATCCACTTGTTGGTGTCCGGGTCGCTGATGTCTACGGTCTGCAGGGGGCCCACTTCCTCCGTCTCGTTGACTGGATGTAAAAAGAAAGACAAGAGTAGGGCTGTCAACTTTTACACACGCAAATAATCTGGAAACGTACGAAAATGTACATTACTAAGTTTGAACACAAATTCCCCCTCTAATTCCAGTGCAGGTTGTCGTGTCAAATGATCATATAATAATCATTTAAAACATATAGTCTTATATTCTGATTGCCTAAGGGTGGGACCAGTTGGCTTTTCTCTCTACTATATAGTGTGACTGTAAGCTGTGTTCGGGGTGCAGAACTTCTCTATCCTCTGAGGATGAAGTAGCTCTGTTCCTACATTTGGGATCGATTTCACTTGTATATTGACTTTCTTTATTACTTTATTAAATATAACAAAAGACAAACTTGATTGTCCATGAATCATTTATCAGTTTCTCTTAAGAATGTCCACCACACAGGTGTTTACCATTAATTGCATAGTAGTGAAAAGGCAAAGGAAGCAGAGGAATTGGCACAAACTCCACCTATTGCATTGAGTCAAGACCATTGGACGTCAGTAAGAACCATCACTACCTCGTTGTAATGGCACAACTAATCCATGACAAATGTTCTTTGATTAGTCATGATTAATAACAGATGTGTGTGATTAACGTGAACCGATTTTTAAATCAACTGACAGCACTAGAAAAGAGGTATCACTAAAGGGCTGTACGATTAAAGAAAATATATAATTAACCTTTTTTTGGCAGATATTGCAATTGCGATATGATTCCTGATGTTGGATGGGTTAAAAATGTTTGCATTATTATTCTCATTATCATTGAAAAACATATTACCACGTAACCAAACCAATGAGTTGTTCAATATGATGTGTAGGATGGAATATGTCTGCACAATACTTAATTCAAAAATATATAAATGCATATTTAGCCTTAATAATATTGTGCTTCCTGCAAATGCAATGAGGTAGTCCATCCTGCAATTTCGATTTAAAGTTTTGATTAATTGTGCATCCTTAGACTAATGCTATGATTTAGATGTGCAAATGACACAGTAACTATCTGTATGTATGTAAGGGGTATCCTGCCTTAAAGACAATGAACATGGAATAAGAGAGTGGCTCATTTGCATTTACACGCGAACCAGTAAAAGTACAAGAAAACAATACACCGTTTAAAGTCTGAATACCTGTTCTTACAGTGTAATAAGGAAGGCTTATGGCTTTCAATTCTTGTCCTTTGTCACTTAAGTGAGCGCCTATTAGCCGCCGTCCATCACCGACGCCTGACAGTCATCGACCACGCAGCACATGGCATTCATTGTGTGCTTAAAAAGTAACAACTCTAATGTTTCCACGGTACGCAGATTGATTTTGGGAATGCAACTAAAGGTGGACAGTAAGGCTGTGAAGAGCAATCCGAAAACAATTACTTTCATTGGTGTGGATAGTTGTTGTGTATTAGCTCTGGGCAGCATGCATATGAGAGATGTTGCTAGAACAATTACGAACACACCTATTTGTACAATCTATGGAAATGGAGAACGTCATGATAATATGACAGACATCCCTTTATTAGTAATGCTGGATATAGCTCTTGTAGCATTTGAAAAGGAAAAAAATACTAGGCTGTTTCATTTTACAAGTCCCAGAATTCCTACTGACATCAGGTTAGGGTTAGGTTATACATATTTTTACAATATTTTATGTACGAGTGACTTTGTGATCTACTTTGAAACACTGAGCTGTTTTACACTGGTCTCTCTTTACTTGAAGCACACAAATTATCACTTTGCCTGTGATATTGAAATGTCTTTTAGTTGTCATCTGGACGTTTTTTGCAATGCCAGAGTCACGTAATTTAGCCCATCTGCTTGTTTTGGCTTTTTAGCAACAGAAAACTTTTCTTGTTTGGCTAAATACGTCTTTTATAATGTAGTTTGTATTCCACAGAAACAAACAGATTGGGTCCTGCACAATGACAACTTGAATGGATTAGTGTTGTCACTGTGATGGGATCTCATTTTTCCACCAGGTAAAGCAGCACAGTGGGTACAGGGAGGTGGCATTTATTTTGTTTGTTACAAAAACAAACGCAGCGGGTGCTCGGGTGACCTTTGCTGTGAAAGAGGTGCTACGTCTCTCTGGTAGGGGGCAACCGGAACAATGACAAGAATGTATTGGTCTGCTTCTCTTTTTACCACGGACACCACCCACTGCTATCAGAAATCTCGATTTTTTTTTTTTTATGTTGTTCTTGTTTTGTTTCCAGGGACAAAAATGGTAAATTGGAGGTGAATTATGCAATGCAGGCTGTGGCAGAGGAGAGGCCACTGAGCTTCACGATCCTGCCCCATGGATGGAAACTCTCTCAGTAATCTGGATACACTCGGGCTCGACAGATGGAGCACGTGATCTTATGGAGAACTGGCTGAAGGCCGTAGACTTTGGCTCTTCCTCCTGACTTCAGACAACAACATTTCCAAATATTCTTCGGCCCTGCTGGGCTAAATATGTTTGGCCTTGGTTAGTGTGAAACAGACCAAGAGTTAGCAACGCTGAAATCTGAGAATGACCTCACAGTTTGCCTCATGAGTTCAGCTCAAATGGGAACACAGAATTAAATGAATCCAAGGTCATTTTTATCTCCCGCTCTTGTCGAGAAGTGGACTTTTCGCCATAAACATGGACCCAGCGCTCCTCATTTGTCTCATCGGTTTATCATGCATCCTCTCTGTCCTTTTCCAGATTTGAGTGGGGATAGCCGTTGTTCTGACCACGATGCTAGACGGCTTTAGCGTGATTAGCGAAAGGATCCTCACTAAAATCTAGTAAAATAATCCTCATGTGAATTCTTTAAGGTTTGATTTTAGAATATATTTGCACAAGTGGAAAGGGTCAGGGTTAGTGTAATGGCTACTTTAATTCAATTCAAATGTATTTATATATCATACCCAATATCACAAAACCCATTTGTCCCAGAGGGCTTCACAAATCAACAAACCTATCTGAGAATATAGTAAAATGACAAGATAAATGTGAAAATACTTTAGGATTTAAATAGCTTCTGGCTCTGCTAGGGCTGTGCAATTAATCGTATTTTAATCGCAATTACGATTTTGGCCTGCCACAATTACGAAAACAACATAATCGAAAAAAACGATTATTTTGCTTTGCTTGGTTGTGACAGTGCAACATATTTGATCTAATTTATTTTAGTCTAATTTATTTGTATTTATCATATTTACATATGTTTAGTAGCTTGTTGAAGTGCGCTCCAAAATATTTGTTGATCTTGTTTATTGGTATTTATTATTTTGATATTATTTATTTAAATGTAAATATAAATGTATAATTTATTTTATTTATTTTTGTATTGGTTTTTCAGTTGAATTATACGTTCAGGGTAATCGACAGTTAAAAAGATACTGTTCAAATTATTATTTGTATTTGTTTTAAAGTTCAATAAATGGATGTTTTCAAAGTCAATGAATAATCGTATTTAATAATCGTGATATCAATTATTGACCAAAATAATCGTGATTATGATTTTTGCCATAATCGCACAGCCCTAGGCTCTGCCACAAAGCAACAAACACTGCTGTAAACTTATCTGAACAAGTTTAACAGGACTTATGTGTTGTTAGTCCTTCTCCTGACCTTAGTGACACAGTTATATTTGTCGAGTGGTGTGACTAGCTTGCTGAGAGGCAGGCTATTAGATGTTTTGTCTCCTTGCCGACTCTGCCCCAGGTTTTGGAGAGGGTTAGCCGCTCTTTAAGGCAGTGTGACCATGCCTCCCACTCACTGCTGAGAGGAACTTTGAGATACCTACAGGCTTTACATTCAGAAATGTACTTAGTGATTTAGAAAAAGAATACTGACAAAACTTTCTGTATGAGTTCACAAAGAAGCTATTAGCGCTGCAAAATGTACTGCTTGAGGAAACCTGTATCATGTCCACATTTACTTGATATTCCTCCACGAATACAGAGAGGAAAGCATGGAAAACAAGTCTGTTGATCTATTTTGTACATCTGATCTAATTTGTTTCTCTCCTGGGTTTATGAATGAAAGAAAGGTGACTTGTTTTTGCCAGGATTATCTTTCCAAGTTCCTTAAAATTATGAAAGGGAAAGAAAAAGGTTTTCCCAGTAAAAAAAAGCTTTGTAAGGATAATGTTTCTATCTTACTTTTTCCCCTTAATCTTCCAGGTGGATTTAATTCTCCTTAAATTCTGAACACACGGTATATACAGTTTATCGTATTAGCACGAACACATGGGGTAGTGTTGCCTTTAACCTCTTAAGCCCTGAGCCTGTTTTTCAGGTCTCAGGCTCGAAAATGACATTCCCAGAACAAATGACCATATCTTCACTTCTAAAAGGGTTAAATTAATAATCTTTATTCTCAAAGTAATGATAAACCTGTGAGTTGGATGTAGAAAAGTCAGAATCAATATAGATGTTTTTTATTTTAAAGAAAATTCAGATTTTACATAGTAAAAAACTGTAAATTATAGTGTCCGTCCAAAAATTCTTTTTTACTTATAGTGAAAACTACCCTTGGATGATGGGTTAGTAGACTAAAAGCTTTAGGCATCCAAAGTACAACATATAATAAGTACCCTGTATCAAGATTGATGCAAAACAAGTGAAATTTGACCTTTTTAGAGAGATTTAGCCAAAAACCCCCACTTCTGGGGTCATTTGGGTGGATTTGACCTATCTCTGGCCCCCCCTTGGTCGATTTTGATGAATGAAATCTCTTTATAACCGCTAGAGCCAATGGAATCGAGGGAAAGTTATATACACACCAAAACGTTAACAAATAAGGAGTGAGAGTGATGCGTTACCAAAACCGGAAGCTGCATACACTCTGGTGGCTACCATTAGCAGCTAACTTTTCCACTCCGATTTTTACATAAAAAATGGAATTATGGATTATAAATAATTTCTTCAAAGGCACAGGTACATTATCAACCTATGGATCAACAGTTGTAGACATTTTTTTTTTTCGTTTTAATGCCATTGAACACGTCTTTTGACCTAATTGACAGCTACGGTGAGACGATCTGCCGTAAAAGCTCCGTAAAGGTACGTGTTGTGATGTCTGTGTTTGCTTCCCCTGTCGCAAGTTCGGATCGCTCAGTGATGATACTAGACCTAAATAATCAGTGGAGTCTCAGCTTTAATCAGCTATATTGTATGTGTAGCTCCGATAAGTAATAAGGGTATCTTTATCTTGAATTGTGTGCCGCAGTGCGTTAGAATTTTTTCGCTCAGGGGTCATTTAGACCCTTCCTATGAGACTTGTTTTGTTTTGGTAAAAATGGTTCATATCTTCAGTTAGCTGAGATTCTTCCCGTTAATCTGGTGCTACACATTAATAGTTTCATAAATGTTAAGAAGCCCTGAGACATTATCTCGAAAAAACAAAACGGTGGGAGGGGTCCAATGGGGGGACCGCCGTGCTTAAGAGGTTAAGAGTCTTGAGACCAAAATAAGTATTGCAGAAACAAAACATTAAAACAATTATCCTGACCAAAAATAAAAAATGTATCAACTTGCCAAAGCTATATTTTTCAATTTAGAATAAAATGATTCTATATTAATGTTTCACAGATTAAAGAAACATTATGTAGATTATCCTGGCACAAAAAGAGAGGGAAAACAAAGCATTTTAGACAAGCTGAAAATAGATTTTTTTTCTTCCCACTTGCCTCTCAGGGTTTCCGTACTAAACAGGCCCGTGTACTGATAAATCACTCATCCACTTTGATATCACCTTGATACAATGATCAAAAGGTTTCACGCAGGAAATGTGCCACTTCAAAGCAGGTTAGTTAAACAGTTTAAACGCCCCAGTGTTCCTGCATGCTCGGTGTGGTAAACGATGTTCCAACAGGCCCTCCTGTGAAAACCCGTGAGACGTGAAGCTGTTTCAGGCTGCGCTGGAGATGGGCGTCGCCCTCAAACAGCTGTGCCGGAGCTCCAGATCCCCTTTGTGTCGCTGATGATACGCTGACAGCTGGCTACATTATCCTCCACATTTCACACATGACTTCCCTCAAGGGGACTTAAAAAAAAAAAAGTCACACTTCGAAAGAGCCCATCAGCTTTATTGCCGTGGTACGATGAAAACGTCCTCTCTTGAAATACTGTATGGCCCTCTTTCGCAGTCACCAAATCAAAGCCAATTAGGCGGGAAATGCAGCACTGCGACGATGTTGGGAGTTCGGTTATGACTTTTGTTTAAGGACGATGGAGTGTTTGCATGCGTGTGTGCACTGATGGTATCCCCCCTGGGACTGTGAGGTACGGGGGAGATGTCCCCTGCGGACAGGATGAGGTCAGTAAAGCTGGACCGTAACAGACTGTGACACGTTGGCCTCAGTCAGCACTCTCAGAGCTCTGATGGTGACACACAGGCCGGCAGACATCACCCTGACATGTCTCCTATACACACTCTCTGATCTCAACGTGATCCCCGGCCCTATTAGAGCGGCACAATGATTTTCCTTCTCTCGCTGAGGATCATGGGTTAGACAATCACCATGATCCTCTTCCTACCTTGTATCAATACACTCCTGTACTGTAAGTAGGTGTCTGTATCAAAACAATAGGATGTAATATGGAGGTAGAGGCTGTGTGTTTAACATAGTGAGGCTGTTTTTAATTTGTGCAGCAGAGAGCTAATCCCTGGCAGACTCCATGTGATATTGGATTGCTCCAACTATCCTGACTTTGCTTAAAACATCAAGTTTTGTTGCAAAGCTGGAAAACAGTGGAATTCAGTGTCTACTTCTTGCTATTACGAAATGTAAAAATAGACTTTACTTGTCCATACAGACCAATTTGGTATACTTGGTCCGATCCCTCTGTCTTATCCCAGATTTGTTTTATGTTTGTTGAATTCCAAATCGCACAAATCATGTTTAAGGCAAAAAACTTTCAATTACCTGGGAATATTCAGATATTGTTCAATGAAAGACAAGGGAATTATTATTTACGGGGTTCATTTATATTCACTAATGTTAGGGTGCGCACAACAAAGAGAAGTTTTTGTGTTTCTGTTTGTGGGGTGAAGATCTGGAACAATTTGAGTGAGGAGCTAAAGGGATGTCCAAACATTGTATGAATTTGTGTATGTATATATATATAAATATATAGAAACCATTCTCCTAATTTGCCTGTATATATTATATGAATGATTATATAAATTATTCAAGATTATAAGTATACATTTATATTGTATGTTAACATATATTAAGATGTAAAAAAAAAAAAAGGGAGAAGGGGTCGGATTAAATAAGTGTAAAATTCTTCCGACCCCTTTTCGGACGTGTAATTAGCTAAAGCTTTGTTGTTTATTGATATCAGACAATGATACTACAGATTATTCAATTATTAATTAAATGTATCGTTTTGTTATTGCATTCATTTGTATAGTACTGTATCATGTCTGTATCACCTTTTGTTTCATTTGTATTTTCTTTGGTTTTACACGCTCGAAAAAAATAAATAAACTAAACTAAACTAAATGTACAATATTATTATTTATCTTATTTTAACAGTCAAATTATGATTACATTTGAAACCAATCCCTTAGGACAAAACCTACCAAAAAAACACAGAGCAAAATAACTGCTAAACCATTCATCTTTCATGTGAGGTGCTAACGGGGACTCGTCCCTAAGAAACTCATCGAGTCCCTGTATGATAATCTTTGGCAGAATGGACATCAGTTTTTAAACCATGCTAATATACCAGGTTTTTGAAGTTATTGGGACCCTTTAGACATATTAGAAAGGAGAAGTGTCAGTCTGGATATTACATGTATAAGACTGTATTATGGTACTGTAGTGCATTGCATTGTGCTAGGATTTCAGTTTTCTAGCCTTAGTTTTAGGTGTTCTTCAACCCTTACTTGGTGTTGGCTCCAGGGACACTATTTCTGATTCTCTATCCACTTTCAGTCATCATAAAGACTGACCTGCAGGTGCACTTTTCTATCTGTGTTGTGATAAAGAGAGAACATAAATACACATCTCTCTTAATCTAAATACAATTGTCGTGGGGCTCTTGTAAGTCTTTCATATGCAGTTCCAAATGGAAACATATGGCCTGAGTGTTTTGTTTACACTCAGTTTATCAAGAGCTGGAAAGGGACGCAGGGATGTAAACACTTTTAAACACAAGTGAAAACCACAGGGGCGACACTATCTATCTAAGTGAGCTGAGCGTGAGGCGTAGGGATACGTACTGAGCTGATACTCGAGGAGGTACCCGGTGAGAATTCCATTAGGCTCCGAGGGCGCGGCCCACGCCAGGGAGACGGTGTGCTTCTGAACATCCGTGACCCCGAAAACAGGATTTTTCTCCGGGACTGTGGGGGCGAAAGAAGGTATAAGACAAACAGTGAGCCGTCGAACTCTGCAGCCCAGATCCCTTGGCTATTATTAGATTTTCCCTTCAGTAGTTGTGAATCAATACACTCCATGCGGTTTTTTCCACAATCCTTACCTCCCTCTGGGGTTTTGAAGTTGAGGGGATGGCTGCCTGGACCGTTGCCCCGTCCGTTGAAGGTCATGACGATGAGGCTGTACTCGGAGAAAGGCGTCAGTCCCGGCAACACGCCGTGGTTTCGGTCCCCGGGGAACGCCAGCGTCTGTTTGTCTCCGTGTTTTTTCTTAGAGTCGGCCAGGCTTCGCATACGCCACCAGTTTACCTGGAAAGAGACGCACAGAGACGTGTGAGGGAATGCAAAATGAGTTGTTTTTTTTCTCTCAGCTGGACGAGTAAAGGAGACAGAGAGGGGTGAGGGGAGCAAGCGTTTGGAGCGAGGTCAGGGCAGCTGCTTTTAAGCCGTGTCGAAAAGCAAAGGTCTGTTTTTGAGGTATTACCCTGTAGCCTCCCAGATGTCCGTGTAGCGTGTCCTTGTGTACACGCGTCCAGCTAACCTTGACCACCGAGCTGTTCATCACCTCCACGGATACATCCTCAGGTGCAGCAGAGGGAACTGTAGAAGACGACACACATTATAGAATCTGCAGTCGAGGAACAACAGAGCTGTGAGGAAACAGTTTAAGGTATTCACTACTGTCAATATAATGGATAATCTATTTACAAAAGCACCTGTTTGGGGTTTATATCAATGGGCTCTACAGACAGTCACACAAGCTAATATAACTTATAAAACTATTGATCTAAAGGGTGGGAATACTGGTTGTAGCACCACGTTTGACATGAGGACACAATAAGGAGAGGAGTCATGACCTGATTTTACTTCCTTGGGGCAAGTCCAGAAGAAAGCTGAACACAGGAAATACAGTAAGCCTCTGTAATATTTTCTTTCCCCGAGTCCATTTGAGTTAAGCAGAAGAATAAGCCAAGACATTTAAAACCTTCTTTTCTGTATACAATCATATAAAGTACGGTATGACTGGCTTTTTAAAACTAGGACAGAGCCAAAGACAGAACTACAATCACATCACCATTTGGTTTTATCCACCAGGATCTTCTCCAACTGAAAAAAGCAACACAATATGGCCTTACAATAGCCTTAAAGAGGCCCTATTGTGCTAGTGTGTTATATAGGGTTTCTGTGCATGTAAATGGTCTGCAAAGGCCAAATTCCCAAAGTTCCCTCAAGGGAGAGTTTTTCTAGGGGAAGTAAAATCTCTTTCAGCTGCCAGTTGTAGCTACATTACGCTAAATGCCATTTTATAATATGTTTCTGCTGCACTATTTCGTAATGCTCTTAATGTCTTTGATAAACTTGCCTTGCCTTACAAATAAAACCACATTAGGTGAACAAAGCTCACGACTCACAGTCCTCTCCTGAGTATCCGGACACTATCTTTGGCTCGGGGGCCCGGCCCTGATTGTTCCTGGCTTGGATCTTGATCTCGTAGGGCACGAAGGTGGGGGTGTTCTTCACCACAAACGAGTGTCTCTTCACCGTGTGTTTCTGCCAGTCCTCCTCCACCCCTTGTCTCTTGTAGAAAACCTCATACTCCAAACCCGGACCGTTGTGCTGAATGGGTAGCAAGGGCTGAGAGGAGAAAAGGTACGAAAAATAAAGCAGAGACAATGGTGTGAAGCGCTTTATAGAGACTTTCAGTTACAGATGCTCCTTGTATGTCCTCCAGGGGATGTGAGCTAGCCCAGTGAACTGAAAGCAGAGTTTTATCCCATTATCTAATAAAACAATGGAACAGCTGACCTGGTCTAGCAGGATGGCTTTTCTTTGATACATGGCTTGCTAAGACATCGTAGATGAAAAGATTGATCTCCTCACAGAAGTGGAGAATAGAATGGGATGCCATTATTCGCAAAAGCATATCATTAACAGTGGGAGAGCTCATGAATGCAGGATTCGGGGACTACTTTACCCCGACAGGGCAACCAGATAATAAGTCGGAGGAGTGATTCATCTTTTTTCAATAATGTTGAATATATTACTGTACTTGTTAAAAGAAAAGAAACCCTTTTCATATAAAATTTAGTCGATTTCAATGGAAAGTGATCCCAGAAAATGTCTTTTCTCAAGATCTCAATCGCAGACAGGAAAAATCAAGAGGGCCATTTCTAATAAATTAAATTATGAAATGAAGTATTGGTAATTGCTCATGAAACATTGATACAACTTCATCTTTGTTCTTAAACTTCAAAAGCTGTATCAGATTTGAATTATACACTGCTTAAAGGTAGCTGACATAACAGAATTGTCAGTAAGAGGATAATAAAAGACCAGAGTCCTTTTCTTACCTCCCAGTTGATATCCATTTCATGTGGCAAATGACCTTCGATTTTGACATTTTCAGGGTTCTTGTCGGGAGCTGCGGAACAAAAGGAGTATAGATTTTGTCGCTTTTGTTAATGGAAGAAATCTTGGGTGAAATGTGCGCACGAGAGAGGAGATTTTCAACGAGGGTGGAATCAATTATGTAGCAGGTCTGAGTCTTTTGAAGAGTTCACAGGGGCGCAGCTTTGGCAGCTCGAGTGGCCTGAAGGACCTTGTCAAAAAGTATGACAAATAATGAAAGCCTCGGTGAAAGTCTGTGGTCCAAGATTCAGAATTGGCTGAAGCCACACACTATTGATTTTACATTTACCTCTCCCAAAATTGTATTTGGGCTTCTTGATGAAACTAGTCCAGAGATAATAAATACAAAGATGTATCTGGGTAAAATACTTGTTTTTAAAACTCAAGGAGTGATCTGAATTCACTGGTTGTTGTTTTGTTGAGCTTTCAAACTAGTTATCTGAAGTGTTGAAGCGATCCTATTGACTGTTTTAATTTTTGTTATTACTGTTATTTTATAATTGTATTAAAAAATAGATAATAAAAACAATGAGAGCCTCAGACCTGTGGCCGGGGTTTTGTATCTTTCCGTGGGCTCGCTGGGACGCCCCCTCCCCACATCGTTAACTCCGGACACCCTGAAGCGATAGTCGACGTGCCCGTGGAGTTTGGCCACGGCAGAGTTGTGGTTCCCAGGTATTCGGAGCAGCTCCTTCCAGCTTCCGGGCTCCCACTGGCTCTCCTCGTACTCGATGATAAACTCTGTTGACAGGCAGAAAGACAATCAGCGTGCTCCCTCACTGCCATGCCAGAGGACTGCTTATCTAACCACCAGCTGTGCAGGAGGAATCCTCAAACCTCTGCTCTGGGCCTGTGTATACCGAGGGGATACTAATCACAACTCACGCTCGGATGAATCAATAATAGACTCATATTGTACAAGATGGTATCAAAAAAAATCTATTAGCGAGCTGAATGATGCCCAAAAACTGTGTTGTGTCAGATTAAAGGGATAGTTCAGGTGTTTTGAAGTGGAAATGTATAAAGTACGTATCCATTGTCCGAGTATTACCAACAGGAGATGGTGGTTGGCACATTTTGAGAAGTAGACAGGAGTACTAGCTGCGGACGGGGGGGGCAGCAGCAAAAAATGTTTAGTAACCTTAGAATTCTGGATATTTTCACTGCTTTCCCTTGCTGTCATTCAGCCGTTTATCAACCGGGAACTGAAGCTGTTATCTATGCTTTCTCCAAAGCAAACATCCCAATTAAAAAAAACTGTAATTTTCCCTTGCAGGAACACAGGGGGTCTGGTGTTGATTGGTTAAGATCGTGTTATTCCAGAATCACACCATAACAGAAACATACTAAAATGTGAACAACAATGGCAGCAGTAGAACAGCAACAACTGCTCTGTGTTCTGCGACGTAGAATTAGTGTTTTTGTCTAGAGTTTGGTGGCTTTGAAGAGCGCTTAAATAAGAGCTTCTGATCCCTGTCGGAAATGTGATGTATCTGTTTCTGGGTAAACTAAAGCCGGGATAATGTTCTAAACTAAGCGTACATTACACGTAATTTTGCTCACACTTTCAACCAAAGCAGATGACTTACACTTTGATACCTTAGACATGCCAACTTGAGCAATTTGGTGTTAAGTATCTTGCCCAAGGACACTTCAACATGTTGAATGCAGGGGCTGGGGATCAAACCAGGGACATCACGTTGGCTGGAGATCGAATCACCCAATCTTCCTATTGGCAGATTCCTATTTAACCTAATCTAAACTTCAACAGAACTTTTTGGGCGGGGCCTTTATTTACTTTTAGCTAAAATACACTTTGCTGCTGTCCCTTTCCGCTGCAGTAAATACCTTCTGGGAACCTTCCACTGTAGGTAATACACTGACTATGGATAAGTCCCTTATACAACCCCACTTCAAAACACCTGTACCTTTAAAACATTTCAGTGAAAAGGCACTATATTCAGTGGACTGTATGTATGACACCTTTACCTGTGGTGGAGCTGTTGTGATCATCCCCGGGGATCCATTTCAGTTTCACACTCCTGCTCTTGTGGTCCGACAGTACCAAGTACTCAGGAGCATCGGGGACATCTAAAAACAATCACAACAACACGGCGTTAAGAAATCACAGACACATTTCTGCAGCAAAAGAAACGTGGTAACAAATGTTCAATCGATTCGGAGCCAGAGGATGTGGAACGAGCTGCATCGCTGCCGCTGGTTCTTCCAGACATTACAATGTCAAATATATCTCAAAAGGGCGATTGTCAGACAGCGTGCTAATAAAGCCATGGTGTGCATGTTCATGCTCCGCTTTGGCTTCCTGACATATTGATCCTTTTATGAATGTCTCATACATAAATGTAGCACCGTGGGTCTGTGATCCCGTGGACCCGGAGCACAGATATTGTTCTTATGTGAGCTCACCTAACACCATGAGCAGCGCTGAGGCGGCGTCTCGGTCCACCGGGGTTCTGGCCACGCAGGTGAAGAGACCCTGGTCCCTGTGGCTCACATTGGTGATCTGAAGGACTCCTTTCTCCACAAAGTATCTGTGGAAGGAATGATAGAGACAGGATATTAAAACAAGCTGGGATTAAACACACAATATGCGATTTTCTGACACAAAGGGTCCCGTAAACATCAAATGATAAAAGGACGAGTTTTCGGGCATTCTGAAGTAGAGTGGGCTTATGGGAGTTGTTGTCTTAACCTTCATTGATGTCAGAACAATCTGCAGAGGTCTCCTCCACTCAAAAACAAACAAACCCGGTGTTTAAAATGAGAAAAAAAACACTAAAGAAAGCAGTTTTAGGTAGAAAATAAATCTGTGTGTCTGCCAGACAACTTAAAATCCAGTTGTCTGATGACTAAAATCCTTCATCTGTTTAAAACATGTAGTTCAAAACAAACAAGATCTAAAAACTGGCTAATATGTAAATAAATGTCAGCTTCTGGTAGAAAACCAACACGCTGAAAAGTGCAAAAAGGGAACACAACGCTATTAAAGTCAACCAAACAAAAACGACTGTTTCCTAAATTAAAGTCACAGATTTCGCAACTCAACAAAACACAGATCTGATTGTTTAAGCATTTTATTGCAGGACTGTTATATTTGTAGGTCTGCAATGCCGAAAAAAACAAAAATGTATAATTCAGTTCCCACCTTGAGTTCTCAGTGTAGTTCAGGGTTATTGGTATATCGTCTTTTTCCCACAGGAGCTCAAAGTCGTTGATGAAGGACTTGTCGTACTGCGCGAGGCACGACAGCTGGGCCGTGGTACCGACTAACACCTGCAGGTCCTCCTGGGCCGCCACTATTCTGGTGGGATCTTTCAGAAGGCAGAAGCGTATTAGGCAAGGCACATTTATTTATATAGCAGCTTTCAACACAAGGCAATTCGACGTGCTTTACAAAAACGAAAGACATTAAGACATTAAGAAACATATTATAAAATGGCATTTAAAAACACTAATTTAAAAGCAAAGATAATAAAACAGGAATAACAAAGGTACATGAATAAAGTTACAGTGAGATGCACACATCTGAAATGTTTAGGTCTGACTCAATCATTGCTAACTTTTGAGCAGAAATAGTTTTCTTTGACCCTCACTTTCTTTTTAACTTATCCTTTAGTTATTTCAAGTGTTTCATGCTAAACGAACCCGCATTTGGAAAATTCAACGGATCCTGGCCGTATTTGTGTAGCTTATAAAATCAATTTGCTCCCAGACATTCATGTGGCTTGCTAGTTTTGGAACCCATCTGTAACCCCAATACACGTAGGGGACTTTATTATTAGTGTCATGGTAATGGCTGTGAGCCAATGGAAACTTTTTATCAGGTGAAGCTTTTACCTCTCACGTAGAGCATGGCGTTGAGGGCGGACGACCCCTCTGTGTTTTTCGCAAAACACTGGTACTGTCCCATGTCGTCCTTCTCCGTGCCGTAGATCTCCAGCGACCCGTTGTCGTGAACACTAAACCTCTGTCCCTGCACGGATTCAGGGGAGTCGTCTCTGCTCCTGGATAAATATTCAGAAAAACCCCCATTAAAGCTTCAAAGCGCTTAAGGCCAAATTAAATATGAACACAGTAGCAGCCTGACTGAATAAACAGCAAGCTGTGGCAGCAAAGAAGGAATACAAAGTTGCTGAATAGAACATTTAATGTTGAGCGACAGGGTTTTAAACGAAACAGCAGGTCACTAATAAAGAGACACGATGCATGCCGAGGGACTGTGTGCAGCTTCACGTTGAGATCTACTGCTCTCTGCTGGTGTAACGGAGAGCACTCCTACCATGTGATAGTAGGAGGAGGAGAGCTGAAGACATTGCAGTGCATCATCGCTCCCTTCCCCTCCACAGCGGTGTATTCCTCTCCTTCCTTGGTTAAAATCATGGGGGCCAGATCTGTAAAGAGCAGAAGTTGTTAGAGAAACTTTAACGGTGGTACTTTCAGGAGTTTTAAAATAATGAGAGAGAGATCAGGTTTGCAATGTATTCTTTAAAACCAACAGGAAGGAATGAGGCAGATAATCCCGGGTTAAACAGCACTGCTGCGTTAATTGTTGCCTCCTTTGTGTTGAAAAAAATGACTGAGCTGTCAGTAAATGCCAAAGAATGAAATCAAAGAAAACAATGAGTGAGCCGAGCGTGTGCACCTTATCAGTTGTAGCCAAAGCCTCCCATTTTAAAAATGCTCTGTCTCTCCTAATTGTTTACAAAGGCAGCCGCCGGGATTTAGCATTCAGCGGCTGTCCAGCTTTATTAACTCCTGTGTCACGGAGAACAAGCTGCACACGTTGGTGCGGGAGTGACAGAAAAACACTTTTTTTTCCTTCTATAATCTGCACTTGTAAAGCAACACATGTTTATGTTATGGCCCTGAAATCAGTATGGAATTGAGGGAGAACTTGTTAGCATATAAATGGCAGGCTTGTTGCTCCACAGGGAGAAGCGCTAGCCCAATGAAGGCGTTTGTAGACAGGCCTTCTTCCCCGGGCTCCTCGCTGCTTTATGGGCATATGCCAACATCAGCAGCAGCTCTTTAGCTCCGACACATCAGTCAGCGGTCTCCTGATGACTCACTGCAAAGTCTGACACTTGCTCACACACACTGTGAAACAAACGCTGTGAAAAACAGATTCCTTTGTGTACTTGATGAAAGTGAAGTGATGCCTGCTAACAGAAGAGAAACACTTACTCATGATCATGATGTTTGCGTTTGACAGAAGGGTGCCGTGTTTGTTGGAGGCCTCGCACTGATACACGGCGCTGTCAGACTCTTTGGCGTTGTGTAGCATGATGGTGTCGTCAAACACCTTCCTGTTGGCTGCGGGGGAACCTGTGAAATACATATATTTGTTTTAGATCATCGCCATACATGCTGCAACCCTGTATGTACATGATAGACACACTGGATTCACAATCTTAGCTTTCATTTCTCAGATAAACTCTCTAGCTTTGAGTCTATTTCATTCTCTCTAAGGGCAATAAGCCAGGGCTATCTATCCAGTCCACTTCTGAACACTCTCTCCAATGTTATCAATTATGTACGAAGGCTTATTAGGGCAATTGTAGATAAAGACAAATCAATTATGGAGCAGAAGGAAGGGTATAATATGTAATCATCTCTGTGATTAAAGTCATATAGTTAGTGGGGAACATTTTTATACATTTACGAATATCGGGAAAAGCATGTTTTTTGTCCAAAACCCCATGACCTAACTTGCCTTGTACGATGCGTGCAGTGGATGATCTTATCAAATGATACCTTGCAATCAGATTTAACGACAGGAAATCGCACTTCAAGAGACATGGCTGTGAATTGGGTCTATACTGTATGAGTTGAGTGCATTTGTTCATCAGTAACTACAACAATGGAGAATATGTTCCATACTGGGTTAGGGTTGAGCATCTGTGGAGTCATAAGGTTGATCAAACCTTGTTAAGTTAACTAATGTGGATCCTTAAATAACCACAAACTTTTTTTTTCTCGTAAATTTCTAATCCAAGAGAATATTCAAATTTAAAAATAAAATTGTGGTTTTAATTTTGACATTCTTCTCCTTAAGGGTCAGAGTGTTTGTATTTTGATAACATGATGCATTAAAGGAGAGGTGTCATGCTTTTCCGGTTATTACCCGTCCCCTTGTGTGTTATGAAGGTTTGTATGCATGTAAACGGTGTGCAGAGTCAAAACCCTCAAAGTACACCCTGTAGCGAGTAAAACTCTAACACAGAAAATACCTCCCCAAAACGCCTCGTTGGAGATACATCATTGCCCATTTGAGTCTTCCATTTCGTTCCGGGTACGGCATGATGTCAAGCGGTACCCGGAACGAAATGGACCAATTCCGAAGAGCCGTTACGTTACGTCCGCGGAGCCGTTACGTTAAGCCCCCGCTGATTGGTCCAAATTGACCGATCCACGGACTTCCTCACACACACATCTGTGTGCAGGGAGCAGGCAGCTCAGCTGATTTCTCCTCCCTGGCTGCAGGCTGATAACAGACAGTTGGGAAATTCTCTCTGCAGACCCATTCTCACAGCGTTTATCAACCTTTTTCTTACTCAATATCAAGCCACACTTATTGTTTTTACTTCGGCTGTGACTTTGTGTGTGCTCAGGATGAGTTTGGCTGTGTTTCTCTATGTATCCTAAACAAGGAAACAACACCTCCACGGAGCTCAGCGCGATTCACAACGTCTCGACCAATCAGAGCACACTGTGCTCACAGGGAGGGTGGGAGCTGGAGCTTTGGGAGCTACAACGAGCCATTAAAGGCAGAGAGTGAAATTCAGTGAATACAAGTAGTTTACAGAGATGCTGTATGAGAAACCAATGTGAGTTTGGAAAAATGCACAGTATAAATCTATTTTAGTATACCTCAACAATGGAATTATGATCAGTGGAAATGGCCATGACACCTCTCCTTTAAGGCAGGGGTGTCAAACTCAATTTCAGCGCGGGCCACATCAGAATTATGGTTGCACTCAAAAGGGCCGGTTGTGACTTTAAGACTATATAAAAATACAATATATATAAAATAATGTATTATAATACATAATTTCCTGTGCATTGGATTATTATCGGATAGGGTAATAACTTCATAATTAACTACGTCTGAAAGCAGAAGTCTAGGGCAAATAATTGCAAGTCTCTTCAGTGAGCATGTCACAAAACAAGATGCATTGTGGGACATGTAGTTTATGGGCAACGTGCTCCTGTAAAGTGGCATGTAACCGTATAATAAACTTATTATATTCTTTGCATGCGGGCCACATTAAATGAAGTCGCGGGCCGGATTTGGCCCCGGGCCTTGAGTTTGACACCCCTGCATTAAGGGCTTAATATATAGGAGCTGAGGGTAAAATCCCCCCTTCCCAAATAAAGATCTAATCAAACCAAAATGTGTGCCTTACGCCCAGCCAAAGTGAAATAAAGACAAAATTATCTTTCATTATTTTATCATTGAGTTAATTCATTCATCCCTTTAAATGTTTGGCTACCATTGGATTCACAAGAATAGCAAGACAACATCACCACTTTACCCTAACCATCACGGCCCCTGGTAGACACCCCCCCCCCCCCACACACACACACAATTACACAGACTATATAACTATATAATAACACTCCTTGTTGTTAACCAACTATGTGCAATATATGCAATATGTATATATGCCGTTAATAACTGTTCAATATATACCTGGCTGCTAAATCCTCAGAACTGTTACAGGATGTGTATTTTGTAAATTGTGTAACTTTTTTAAATTATAATTTTTGTATCTTTAATACTTTTGTATGCATGCCTCTTAGGTAACATGAAGCTGTCTTTGGCTCTTTTCTCCTGTAACAACGTACATGTCCCCTCTGTGGGACTAATACAGGGATTCTGATTCTGTATCATTCAAATCCCCCAGGCGTCCGGATTAGCCCTCAGGAGAGAAGTTTGAAGTGGTAAAATTAGTCTGAAATGATGGTGTGGTGTGAACTGACCCTGCAGAGGCTCTCCGTTCACCCTCCATGTGATCCTGGGGGGGGGCGTCCCGCTGGCCGAGCACTTGATGAGCACGTCTGATCCGATCATACTGAGCAGACTCTCCGGCTCCACCACCCACTCCGGAGGCTCTGCGGAGACACAATCAGCAGGATATTACCCACCGGATGAGAGTCATTATGAGCGTTTTACAGAGAGTGGACTCCAACACAGGAGCAGATGTATGTTATTCTGCATAAGAGCCCTGCTGAGATAAACACTACATTTACAGGTCTGGCTATTGAGGAGTAAGAGGCACTTCAGCTCCTTCCCTGGATCATTGCTGGAACATAATAGACATTATGTAAAGGTTTCTATCCCTGAGATGATTATCGTCAGAGTGTAATGTATATGCACATACAGCTCGGTACAGTCTATAGGCACGACTGACACAATGCTCAGTATAGCACAGAGCCATAGAAACCATTCAGAGCGGATATATGTACAGGATGTTAGAATGAAAAGTAATACCTGCATAATGGCTTCAGGCAATGTTCAACTTCAAAGTATATATGCATTAGTCTCTATGATTCTTTAAATAGGATCTTATATAGCTATAATAGTACGGCATCTATAGCGATGTGTGAATAAATATGCTGCCGTTTTTACTTACAGAACATTCTCTTCATCTACATTACATTTAATCTAACGTTAATCAGTGATGGGAATTCAAGTAGGGCACTGAACACTTAACGTTTAAAGTAAGAAGCAAGTACTTAAGTATAATTCAGAGGTACTAAACTTACCTTTTTGCATTTCGTCTACTTTATACTCCTCTCCGATATACTTAGAAAGGAATTTTTATATTTATTTGCCAACTAGTTAGACAACTGTTCTGTTCAAAATGTGAATACTTCAGTTAGTTGTATATATTTAGATTATACCTTGAATAACACTGTACTTTACTGCTTATTTTGCACTTCTGGTTAGATACTGACTGCATTTCATTGTCTTAGTACTTACTAAGTACATTTCTAAATGCAGGACTTGAATGCAGTATTTTAAGAATTGTAATCAAACTTTTCTGTACTTCATCGATTGACACAGAGACGTTTTGCCTCCTTCAAACGTAATCAATATCATCCCATTTTATTAGAGCTACTAATTCTGAAAAATGGTCTACTTTAAACATTGAAAGGTCGACCATCAGCTAACCATTCAAATGTGGAATTATTTAAAACGTAGCATTATGAGTGGAAGTAAATAAGAAAGAGAAAATAATACACCAGAGTCATTTAGCAACTCAAGCTTCAAGAGTCAAGGCTTTCATTGTGATTTGTGCATAGCTACAGTGTAGTTATGTCAATGACAATCTTAGGTCAACTGGCTGTAGTTACCTTCTACCGTCACCATGAAGTAATGGACGGCCTCTCCCAGAGCGTTCTTGGCTTTGCACATGTACTTCCCGCTGTCCTCCAGCTCAACCCTCGGCACAATCAGCTGTTTCTTGTGACTCTCCTGTATGGCTTTAGAGGGGAGCAGCTGATGACCCATCCTCACCCACTCTACCTGAGGAGTTGGACTAACAGAAAAGAGAGAGAGTTAAAGGTCTCCCATTATACTGTTTTTCATCAATATATTATAGGTCTCAGATATATACAAAACATGTCTCTGAAGTGTTTGGCTCCAAACACCAAACAGATCATTGCAGCATCCCATAATCCCCTCTGTTTCAGCCCTGTTTCCAAAGTGCTGATTCTCTGTATGTTACTGTAGATGAAAATAAGGAGCCCCTCCCCACGCCCCTCTGAGAGATATTTGGTTAAAAAGAACACAATGGTGCTCTAGGAGGAGATTCAGGTGATAAGGTGGGGGGGGGGGGGGGGGGGGGGGGGGTTACCTTGGTTGGTGATTGGCTAATGGTTACACAAGCCAAAACATCGTTATGACATCATAAAGTGGCCAGCTCGTTTTCAGACAGGTTTTTATATAAATGGATCAGGACAAAAAGAGAGAGAATCTTTTTTCCTGAAACTTTCAGAATCTCTTTACACAGAGGGGACACATGGTGATGTAGAAGAGACATGAAGAAGAGGGGACACATGTTGATGTAGAAGAGACATGAAGAAGAGGGGACACATGTTGATGTAGAAGAGACATGAAAAAGTGGATTTGGCATAATAGGTGACCTTTAATTTATATGTTATGCACCTACCAAACAAATCAAATGCACTTAAAGGGCTTTCCAAGAGAATTACACAAAGAGAAAAATGTAATTCGAATGAAAGTAAATAATAATGATAAAAGAACCACTCACTTGTAAAACACTAGATTCTGTTAAAGCCAGAATAAACAGATAGCTTTAAAATATCAATATGTTCAGCTCCTCTCTTAACGGCTCTTTTCCAACCTTGAGGAGCATAATGCCTGAAAGCAACAACACAAACTGTTTGTCATCTGCTTTATTAAAACATCTGAAAGAGTAGGAGTGTTTCTGAAAAGGTAGTCCGAGCGATGCCTTTATAAACAAATACAAAGTATCTGAAAATCAATTAAGAACTAAAGGCAAAGATTAGAAAGGTTTTGATGTGTGCTCATACAGCAGACTTTTGAATTAACAGGTTTATTTGAGTCTTCAGAAAATCAAAGAGGACGGTATAATGAAAAATATGTTTTAGTTTTGCTGCAAGAAAAAGCGATACGACTTACAAAAGATGACATTAAAATGTGGTGAGAAGCATTAGCAAAAGCGGTGATTGGATTTTGAACATAAAATGAATAATATAATGTATTTATATTATTAAAAAGGCAGTGCTACTTACAATCCCTCAGCAATACACTCCAATTGCAGGTCCTCCCCTTTGACCAGCTGTGTCTCTGACTTGCCACCAGAAGGCGTCAGAAGAGAGGGTCTCCGCTCCAGGATGGCGTTAGCTGAGGGAGAACAGCAGAGGGTGAACCCTTTATTTTATTTATTTTATTATATATACATATTCTATGACTATGTGTGTCATTAAGAATGGTATTCCTGTCATGCTATGTTGTGTCTTTATTATTTCTTGTTGGCTGTTGTGTTTGTCTTCTATGTTGGATAAGGGAAGCATGATTTCCACCCCGAAGAAGTCTGTACTATTGCTTACACTTGTATGCTTCTCCTCAATAAAACAGATTTGAAACGGAGAACAGCAGAGACACACACACACACACACACACGTTTTCTACTCTAAAAACTTCAAACTTACCGGTTTCAGGACTCATGTTTTCTGAAATGAAGATGAATGAGACAAAAAAAAGACCACAATGAACATGAGGACAGCTGGGATACATCACGACAAAAACATCACCGAGATCAAACCAAAGGAGATGCGAATAAACGAGACAGTGTGACACTCAGATGGCTTTTGAAGTGTGAATATGGACATCGCTGAAATGATCTGAGAGCAAATCAAAGTGTTGCATCATGCAGCTTTCAGATGAAAACAGGAATCAGAGAGGATGGAGACGCTGAGGACGTACTTGTCTTGACGATGACAGACATGGCGTTCTTCTGAACGATGGTGCGTATCCTGGGGAAGGCGGCGAAGCAGCAGTAGTCTCTCCGGCTGTCCTTCTCCACGGCGTGAGAGAAGTAGAGGTCTCCGTTCAGCCCCATGGAGACCCTCTCATCCTGCTCGATGTGCTGCAGATCTGACAGACACGAGCGTTAACTTTTTTTATACACCCATTAACAAGATATACATACAAGTCATAGAGAACACTTTTTCTGTAGAAATTAGACTTTTACTTCAATACCTTAAGTACATTTTGTTTCTAATACACCTAAGCTTAACTTAAAGGGGACCTATCATGCAAAATGCACTTTTGTACGTCTTTTATACATGAATATGTGTCCCCGGTGTTCCAGGGAACTCACCAAGTGTCAGACAACACAACCCTCTCTATTTTCCTCCATACCCAAATCTCTAAAAAAGGGGCTGCAACGGATCTGATAAAAACTGATCCAGATTTGAACACTGTCCTGACGTCAGGACAGTGGCGCTACGGCTATTGGGCCAACTCCACCAATCAGGAGGAGACAGCCACGGCCATTGCCGTTCGAAAGCGCTGGAGACGCTGTAGTACATATGCCAGGCCAGTAGATTGTGCTGTTCTCACTGACAATTTCTAGCTCTGGGCAGATTCAAATTGAGCAAAATGAGGCATGGCTAAAATGCATGATCTGTTTGGTATTTTGAAAAAAAAAAGTATAAATATGCCTTATATAGGTATGGTCCTACACTATATTATTCAAATATAGCATGATAGGTCCACTTTAAGTAAGACTTTAAATGAAGGACACTGTATTTGTTATCTTTGCAAAGCGTCTTCCAGCACATGTTAAAGCCTTTAATAGATAACATTATAATTGTATATATACCTCATTTTACAGGGTATATGCAGGAATCCTGAAGTCAAATTTAAGACCTTTTAAGACCTTTTTTAAGACCGTTTCCATACATTTTATGACCTCATCGCCACTTGGAGTTTTAACCGGTTACATTGGCGACACACTTTACCTCACATTGACTATATACAGTATTGATTGTCCTTCCTCCTTATCTTCCAACCATTTGGACGCAAACTTGCATTTCCCCATAACGATGTTGTTTAACAACCGGCGTAAACGGACCTTCGCGCGCTATCAAGCAGTGAGCGTGCGATGTCCTGTTCAGATGACGTCAAATCCAACGGGATGCCATAAATAAACTACACAGAATCACACTACACACCTACGCAATGATTACATTCAGGCAGACTGTAGAATACAACCTCTTTGGACAATTTATATACTTATTGAAAACAAGCTACAAAATGTAAAACCTTGGGAAATGCCGTTTAATACTTTTTAATAGCCTTAATTTTCGCTAAATTGATTTATCAACTTTTAATACTTTTTACGACCCTGCGGACACCCTGATAAGTCGTGTGTGAGGATTAAAATGTATCAAAACAATGTCAAGATTTGTATTTTTAAGTGAATTGCACATTTAATATGCATTTACTTAATGTGTTCCTTGCTGTTTATGTGTAATTATGAATTCATTCGTTTTAATATCTTGTGATTTTTTGTTTATATTTTATTGTATTTGTTTTTCCATTTATTTTTTATTTTTCGCATTTTGTATATTTTAAAAGGTGACGAAAATATATTTTTTTAATTCAAGTATTTTATTTATTATTAAAGTAATTATTTTCTTTTTTTTTTTTATTATTTGTATTTTTTTATTATTATTATCATCACACATCCAATCAGTCATTCAAACAAAGAGGTCTCACTTACTGATGGTCATCCAGTAGATCTGGAGGGGGGGTATCCCTTGAGGGGGGTTACACTCTAAAACCAAAGGCTGGCCTTCCTCGACCTCCACAGGATCCAGGGTCTCTTTAGGAAACTTGGGAACATCTGAAGAAAAGAAGGGAATGAATTATTACAACACGAAGGATGCAGTTCCCTTGTTCTCCAGGAGATGGCAGTCAAATCATTCTTGGGTTTAGTCAGAAGCTTATAAAGTGTTTCCTGTTCTCTGTATCACTCAGTCGAGAAATCTATGGGAGATTTTGGACAAAACAGCCATCACTACTATTATTGTGTCTGACATCTTTCTGCTGCTGAGTGCTAAATGTCTTCCCCCCCCCATAGAGTGGATTCAACCTGAGAGTTTATATACAGTGTGGAAGCTAATGGAAAAGTGTAGCAGAGAAAATGATGGAGAGGCTGCATCACCCTCAATGCTCTTTTCTCCAGTGCGGTGTTATAGATGAGGGGCGGAGAGCTCGGGAGCCCCAATGACTTTCTGCCACGTCCAATACAATGAAAAAGCTCACAATGGAGAGGCGCAGTCATTACACAGGCCCTGAATCACTTTGAAAGCACTGTAACAGAGCACCACACACACACAGACCTACACACAGATGTATGTTACTCACGGGGCACAATGAACTCAATCTCCTTGGATATGGCGGTCCCCAGTCTGTTTGAGGCGTAACAGCGATAGTTTCCCTGGTACTCTGTGAGGTTCCCATTATTAGGTATCACAAAGGTCCCAGAATTCTCCTCTTTCATCAGTCGGGGGTCTAGATCGGGGTCGAATTCCTGGCCATTCTTGGTCCATCTGAATCTACATAAAGAAAGGCAGTGTTGAAATGTCAAGGCCTTGGGTCAGCACTGCAGAATGCTCTTTTTCCACCCAAATTCAACTTGTAGACAAACTGTTGTTGTTTTTGCGATCAGCTACTCACTCTGGCTCGGGGTTTCCCTTGGCTTCGCACGTCATCGGGAAGCTCTCGTCGAAGGGGAAGGCGATGAGAGAGCTGGGCGACTGATCGGTGATGGTGGGCAGCTGCTCGACTGGAGAAACACAGCACAGGGTTTAATACAGAGCTCTGTTCAGCAGTATTACAGTCAATGTGATGAAAACGAGTAGTGGTTCCCAACCTTTTTGGCTTGTGACCCCCCTGTGAAAGTCAACTTGTGACCCCTAAAACAGCCTTTACGAGGATATATATATATATTTGCGAGCAATTTACTTAGGTATCTCATTATCTTGGTCCTATATTTAAGTCCTCCTTTTAAAGTTAGTTAGTTGCAAGAAAGTCCTCAGCAATCAAAGTATGGAACAAAACTTTAGGTCCCTCTGAATATAACTTAAATGCATAAGAAAAATGAAAACATGGTAAGCAGAATGTTCCGCACTATGGATCTAGTATTCGATTCATAATTTGGCTGTTAGAGTTGGATCTGTGAGATAACGGTAAGTGAAAACAGGCACAGAAGCCAGTTGCAAGCAAACAAAAGGTCTTTATGACATATTTTATAATGCAGTTAATGTCTTACATTTATTTGTAGGAAATCTTTTGAAGGGATTCTGTGCACAACTCTTAAGAAAGTCCATCAGATAAGGGGTAATACTTAAGTAGAATTGTAAGGTGTCCTGCAACCGGCCATTGAAGATTATCTCTTAATGATTCTAAGATAAGCTTTAAGTATTAAAAAAGTCCAGCTTTTCATAGAAAAAGCACAAATGAAGAGTAGTCTGTGAAACTGTAGAATATCGTCAAACGGAAATATGTTTTTCTTAATTTCTTATCCATTGAATCCTCTTGTGACCAGTCAGATTCACTCAGGTTGGGAACCACTGTAATGTGAGGTTTATGATGAGAAAAACATTGGAGTATAATACTGACAATAACATTACTCTAAATGAATGAAACGTGTAGTGTTTTGTCAATAGAGTTAATGATTCAAATGAATAAGTGGTTTTGTTAGATTGGTTTTATTTTAGTTAAAAAAAACTCTCATTTGTTCTCGTATGATGGCTTACTCGTGACAATATGGAACAAACACAACACAATAAGTATTAATAGAACTGTGTATAGAGGAAGATATGGGCATGCCATGAGTAGTACGAGCTAAATGGAGTCACGACTGATGACACATGAGATTGTGATCCAACACATATGGCTGTAAGTAAAGCTTCTGCTGCGCTCCACAGCGAACCAAAGAGATTAGCAGCAGACAGCGGAGAATGTCGCTAATACGAGCTACGCTATGGCAGAGTGAACTTACTGTTTACATGACCTAAAACTACAAAATCCATGGCAGCAGGGGGGGAATAAACAAAACGAAAAACAGTCAGCATTTTGGGAATAATCTCTTCATGTCTCAAGCATTGTCTATATAAACCCTTCTAAACACACACATGAGTAATGCATAACAGGAGGCTGAATTAAAAGGATATTCCGACATCAGGGAGCACGAAAACCTCTCCTCAGAAAAGCCTGTTTGAACTGTTCTTTATCAAGCTCTTAAGAGATACTTCTGAATAATTTAAAAAGGGAGAGGTTTGATATGTGTTTCCAAGGAAACTGGGGTACACGCAGAAACAACACAAAGAAAACAAAACCTGATTCACACGAGATAAGAGCTGTAAATGTATTCCATTCACAGATCGCTTGAAGAGTGTAACAATTCTCTGTGTTGGATTTATTCGCCTATAAATTATTCGACACCTTTTTTGCTGATAAAAGCATTTCAAGGACAAGTTCTCTGTAGATGAGCATTCACTATGTTAACACTCCTTTCACGTTACCTGTCCTTCTTTATACACTCCTGCATGTGCTTGCTTCATCAAGGACTGTCTTGAATTAACATAGTGTTCCTAATAAGTAAGTGTACTTTGTGTAAACATTTGGGAATTGTATACTGAATGAGTTATCATCTTAAATGTACAATATTTTGATTTCAGAATGAACATGAGGCTTAATGTATTACATTGGATGTTCACTGTTCATGTGTGTCATCAAGTTTAGAAGATCACATTCTTGCAAATATCCCAGCATGCATTGGTGGGGGGTTAAAACCAAGCCCCCAGGAAGTGTGTCGGACATTGAAGCAAATATTTGTAATGGCCAACGATGGTACTAAAACTCCTGTGACAGTCCGTGACGTCAATGGGCCCAAAAATACTATTTCACATTGACTTACATTGGGGAAAGAGACTTCTGTAAATCAGCAGATTTGTGTTGTTTTATTGACTACCCAGTACGAACACGGTTATAGCCCAACTATGAACTTTCATAGGAATGAACGGGGTCCCGCATTCAACGCTGTATTCAGTTCTCTATACATCCATACTTATAACTCTCCTTCAGAAACCCTTTTATTATTTTCTCTTCAAGTTAAAAGGACTTGCTGTATGCATGTTCATGTTTAGTGCATTAAACTTGCCTTTTAAATTATTCAACACACTTTCCTAAAATCAAATCAAAAATCTATCTTGAGAGTTTCTATCTTGAGAGAGATGCGTGCCTCCAATGCAATTTAATGGAAGTCAATGGAATTTAGTTTTCGGAGCTTACAGCATTACACATTAAACATTTTAAAAACAACATTATTTCAGAAACATGTCCATATCTCTCTGGATATTCAATACAATTACATCTCGACTCTTTCTTTGTTAGAAAGTGACAGCAACATGTGTGTTTTCATTATTAACGCAAACTGGCCCTTTAAATATACCAGTCATTGAATTACTCATGCATAGTAAGAGTCAGCACTCACCCTCCAGTGGGATGTCGAAGGCTGTCGTTGTATAGAAGGCACACATACAGATGATCAGGCAAAGCACAGCGGCCAATCCCGGGCTCTTCTGTAACCTCATGGTTTGTCTTTTGAATATCGGACGTCCTCAAGAAACGCGTGCTGTCTGCTGCTCGGTCCTCAGTTCATTTCTCTGGCGCGCTGAGGATGCGGTACCTGTAAAAGTAGCACAGACGGAGGCCCCCATGAATCCACCCACGCGCTGGCAGACAGAAAAGACAAACCCCAAACACAACAAATCCCCCGTGACCGTGAGCCCGACTGCTCCCTGCTCAGCCAGGCGTCACCAGGCACACATCACACTTTCATTTATATCAACAGGGACTCGGTGCTGCGCTAGTTCAATGTTTTACTGTGACAAAGAAATATTCTCTTTAAAGCCTGCTATCATCCCCTTCCCCCTGGGACCCAGCTTGTTTTTTTAGTTTGATGTCTGTGGAAGTGTGTAGCGGAAAGTGTATTTTCCGGGCGACAATGGAAATAAATAACTAAACAAATGAAGGAGCCTGTGGACTTATTAATGCATGGCAGATGTTCAGAATTACTGAAAGAGAGTGAATTTATTCCCGAAACCAAGCCGAGATTCAAATCAAAATGACCATCAAAGTTATGATACAATGCATCCGACATCTGTGCCTGCATGTTTCTGATAACAATGACTCAAAAAGATTAAGAATGCAGCTACACGTTTATCTATTATTGCAGAAATATTGCTGCCTGAGGGGTGTGAGGCAGAACAATCTTTCATAGTTAACAGTTACAGAGAGTGAGCTGTGTGCGGCTGCAGAGGAGAGAGCGCTGGATCATTTTGCAGCTAACAGAGCAGAGTCTGGGCCATAATGAGCACATGATGGGTCCACAGTGCAGAGAGGCTGGAGAGAGGAGGAAGGATGTATGGGAATTGTAGTGTCTGTAGCAGTGATGTTAACACCCTCTGGGGTGCCAGTTCATTAGTCTCCTTCGAGTTGGCTTGGGCCCAACTCCGTGGGTTACGCTGGAGTAATTTGCTCCACACCATAATAACAAAAACAGCAATACTGTTGGAGCAACAAATTAAGAGTTTTAGAGTAATGTGAAATTATAAAAAGAGTTGCTGGTAGTCATGTAAGACAGGACGTGTGCTCGGAGCATCACACTTATAAAGTATCATGATTCAATTTTCAATTTCAAAGGAGAAGCGGTTTTTCGGTGATTTACAATGTTTGGGCGTACACCAAGCCAACCTACCCGACCCTCTCTTTTTATATAAATAAAACCCATTAGAACCCATTTTCAGGGCCCACATTTATTAAATACAACATACCAATTGTAAATCTGCCCCGTTCAGCAGCAGAATGTCAGCACATAGGAGAAGAAGTTGGATTTCACTTGTCTCGGGATGAAAGCAGGGATTTATACGAGATTAGGGAGAGTTGACCGACAAGACAATGACTTGGTGTCTAAGTATTTGGAATTAAAACCCAATGCTATTAGGAAGAAATGGAAATGGAAATCTGAAATCTTGTGCTATAGAACCGCGGTGCAGTGGTGGCAGGTGTAAAGCTTGGTCAGAGAGGCCGGCCACAAAGCCATTCAACACTAAAGATCAAAATTAGCGTTCCAAACGGGATCAATTTTCTTTGAAATGTTCTGGTATGGTTACACCAGGGTTGTCACAAGTTTATAAAGTGGGACATTTTCCTCATCATGGTGTCCCAAAAAAGGCAGGTGCTGTTCGAGCACCAGTAACCCATACAGTGACCATTGTGCGCTGAACCTTACAATATCTATAAAGCTCGCTGTTGACATGGTTTTTGATTTCAACTTTGTTCTAATCTTCTTGCTGTCTTAACAAAGTCAATATGAAACACTGAGGTCAAACTCCTGTTCAAGGGATGTAATTAAATAATTGACCTTAGTGCAAAAGAGTCGATATCAGATCTGTTTTCAGGCGAACGTGCACTCTGAACTTCTCATCCATGCCTCATGTTAATGGTATTAACTCTGTCCGTGACTCAATGCTAGCTTTCTGAACCACTGTGACCTCCGCCCCCCCCCCCACCTACACCATCACCAACAAGGCTCCACACTCCTCAGTGTGCTATACATTATGTACACCCAACCCACTCCATCACAATTCAGGCCTATTGACTTTATTTCCAACTGAACATTGGTGTCTCAGAGTTATAAGTCAAGTAGAAATAAATGCCTTAGGCTTTCTATTGTTTCACTGTTTCCCAGGCATTGTGATTTATGTTGCTAAACACAGATTAAAATCAAAAGCTAAGAGCCTTGTGCTAATTGGCTTGTGCTTTGTTGGTAAGATTGGGCTGGTTAAGAGCATTGGGAGGGGGGCTTATAATCCCCAAAAGAAAATGTTTTCTCATTGTCCAATTGTGTTCTCCTCACCAACCTAACACCACCTAATATATGGATCACATTGTTCAAACTGTGCTTGATCATTTTCCTTTTGATTTAATTTGTTCTCCCCTCGTTAAACATTTATGGAGAACCGGCATGGCCATCTGGTGGAGAGGAGGTCCGCTCGTGGGGTTTAACTGCTGCGAGTGTTGATGTCTACATTCATAGGGTATGCTGCCTATTCGACCTATGTGCTGCACACGAGAGGGGGCCCCCTCCAGCTCGGCTGATTTACAGACAGCAGGCTGTCCTTAATGCCCGCCTCTTTTAGCAGCCATCACACCGGGCTGAGATTGATGAAGCTGGCAGGAGGTTAAAAGCTGCTCACTGTGGGAAGGCCAATATGAACCCTAACCCTAACTTAGCCAAGGCTCAGAGGGGACAGAAGCTGTGGGGTGGAGGGAAGTGAAGACAAGTGGGACAAGTGGAATCTGCCTCTGTACTTTAAAGCTCTCTCTGTTTGACAGATGTAGAGCGCTCCCCGATAAACTTCCTGTTCGTCAACAACACCAGAACACTTTGGAATGTAGACCAATTTGGTACAAAGGCATTGTAACCTAATTGTTTCCATCATCATTAATGCCACTGCCACAGTCAAAACTATCCAACAAGTTTTCAGACTTCAAACTAACCCTAATTTTTTTAACCTGGTTAAATAAAGGCTACAAACAAACAAACAAACCCTAAATCTGTCATGAGCGACATGATGAGTTTACAGCCTCGCCTTATAACAGGGCTACACAATAGTTTCACAGTCAATACTTGGACAATCTTTAATATGTTATCGTTAAATCCTGCAGTGTGAAGTCTACAGTCAAGAAGTTTGTGTCTTGGTTCATTTTTTATCCGTGTAAAATCCAACAAATCTCCAACAGCATTCTTTGCTACCATGCTATTTCCGTCAAAACATGTTATGTATATGTTAAAGAAGTGAAAGCCCATAGTAATGTGCCAGATTGTTAAAGGGTTGTAGTTCCTGTGGATAGGTCTAATTGCTTGAGTATGAGATTGATGGCGGACGCTTGCTCTCTGCATGCTTAACTGCATGGTAAGGCTTCAGGTGATACATGTAGTTAGTGGTATTTCCTGTCTTAGTTAACACTATACATCAAATCTGATCATGTCCGAGTCATGTCTTCTTGCCTCTTTACATTTAAGAGATGCTTGTTTCTGTGACAGGAAACGGTTTCCTCAAAGCAAGTCTTCATCTTACAATTTTAGATACCATTTGTTAAGAATGTAACATTTTTAGTAATTTGGCCAGTGTTTGTTTATATGTTGTATATCACCCTTTCCCACAATTATCTTGGTAAAGTCTTTCAGCTTTGCTTAAACTATTGCGAAACTGTGATCACTGTGCCGCTTCCAATAACTTTGGCACGCTTCTAAGAACAATTGGCAAGCTCTGTGTGTTCCTTGACTCTTACGGTTTGGCCATCTGGTGCGGCATCACACCTAACTTTGACCGACAAACAAATGCACTAAATGAGCACACACTGTAAGACTGTATAAGGAAACGAATACCGCAACAACAAGTTGTTTCCTAGAGCATTCTCCACACTTGTGGCGGTGTTGTTTTAGTAACGGGGAGGGGTCCAAGCGCTAGCCCATTGAAAGTTCACTACAGTAGGCTCTTGAGCTGGCACCATCTGCTGCTTTCTCACACAAAGACAAGAGGCGGAGAAGTGTGGGCCTACTGTAGTTTAATGTGCAAGCCTGTAATAGGATTAAGCAGATCCTCAACTTGTCAGGGTGGATTAAAATATTCTCTTGGTTAAAGACCTGGGACGGGAAGACAGCCGCTCACCCCCCCCTCTCACAGCTCTGATAATGCCTCCACACTGATTCCCATTTGATCATTAAAGAACTATTCAAACAAAGGCCGAGCTGATTAACACTAAGCGCCAATTGACTCGCGTTGCTTCTGATGTGTGTGTGTAATGAGTGCAGTTCCTTTCCGTCGTCGTTTTGTTCCCTTTTGTCCAATCAATTGCTCATTTAGCTTGGAAATCTGAGACCCTCTTTAGCTCTGAGACAAAGATGTTTTTTAAGTGGCAAAACTTCTTTTTATAGAAATGAATTAGCCTCTGTGTTCAGAGATTTAGCTTTCTCCCTTTGCTCTTCAGAATGTGAAAAAGATTCTATTTCGACCTTTGGCAACGATTCGCACAATCAGTATTCTACTCAGCCGTGCAATTCATCTATTATTAAAATATCAGTGGAAAGGAAAAGAAAAAAACCGAAACAAGACGATAAATGAGATTAGGAAGTGGGGGCAGTGTTGGATAATATGCTTGTTTAATTGAGATTTTGCTCGATTTTACCGCAGTTCAGAAAGCATGGCAGTTCAATTATCAAAGCATTCATATTTCAGGGGTCTGTGGCTTGAGCAGGGCGAGGGGGCTGGAGCTGGAAGGAGGCTGGAGGAATGGGAAGAGTCTCTCAGGTGTGGAGGAATGAGAAAGAGATGGAGCAGCTGCACTGATGTACTGTGGGGTGTGTGACCCCTGTGTTCTGTTTGAACTAATGAACAACGACCTTGATGAACTCTCCTGTCCTGGGGGGAGTGGGATAACCTGCAGTGACCCCGCAGAGCCTCATGTGACTACATGCAGTACTACAGCAGGATGATCATAAAGAAACATGTATGATAAGGTTCACCTGGAACAAAGAGAGGACTCATTGCTGAATAGCTTTACAGACACTAGAGGTTTTCATCTTGTCAGTAATGGCATTTTACGACAAGCTTTTAATTTTTTATGAGCAAGGAGAAATGACTCCTATTAAGTTGCTCATTTGTGTGACTGAATGCAGTTTGTCGCCATACAATCTGAAGTTTTGCTCATAATAGAGGATGTACGTTCCTTTTTTTCTGTTCAGAAATATCCAATATTAAATATCCAAAAGTTAAAACGTAGCCTTTCACCAATTTATTCTGTCAATATCATCCAAAAAGGCTAACACTTGAATATGCTGTATCAACCTACCATAATAACAAACTGAGGATGTCCAACAACTTTGTCCTGACCCTAACCAGGTCAATTCAAGTGAATATGAATTGTCAGATCAGACATACAGGGTCCTGTATTCGAATAAGGTTAGACTGAAGCCCTTTTTAGCACACCGTTCAATCCTAAAATGAAATGTATAAACATGTCTAGAATAAATGGAGTAAAGTTGAAATAAGTCACGTTTCACCTGAAGATCTGTGTGCTTGTTTTTACCTCTTGGTATTCCACTGTAAAATACATATGAAAACTCGACTGAATGCATTACTGCCTTCACTGATTATGACTTTTAATTCCATTCTCCTGCATAATTTATACGCTGAACGAAAACACTTAAAACTTATCACCAGAGCATGTCATCTGACGTGATAATAAATCATGCAGAACGTATGTGCTGCTGTATGTAGGCTAAAACTACACGGCAGATGCTGTCAGAGTCCTCACTTTGAACCTGTTAATACCTTTAAAGCGAAAGAAAGGGTTCCAGAAAGTGCAGTGCACCTGTGAGCATCACAGCTTACAGCTTTTTTCTCATTTTCCCTGTGATGTGCTCTCTTTGAAGTCCCCCAGGAGTGGCCCTTGCCCGGGACAATAATCACATTAGTGTGTGATCCTCGCTGGCAGAGAGATGAATTCACGAGTTGGACTGCAGGGACTGGAATATTATTTTGTGTGGACACAGCGGGCTTCACTCCACATTCATTCGCTTGGTCTGACTGATGCTGGCAATTTCCCCAGATGAAACTGTGCCACAGCGAGACATGATCGATGGCTGTTGAATCCCTAATCCTTACTGCCATCAGACCCTGAAGGAAAATATCTCTTCCAACAACCGACACTTTTGATGTCCCTATGGCACCCACAGGGCAGCAGCAAAAATAATAAAACACATGTATTTGACAGAAACACCTTCTTCGCTTCATCCAATGTTATCCCTTCAGGTTTTCTCATATACATACAGTACGAATATAAGAGCTTCCCCACTACTGACTGTAATTTAACATTTGAATGTCCTGTTCCGTGACAGAGCCGAGCATCTGGACAGTGTTACTGTGATTAAAGCTGTTTGACACATCTGTCGGATATGTGGCCCAATTCCTGAGCCTCCCATCACTTGATAGGGTTGAGCCGGGGTTGTGTTAAGACAAATCCAATGCAATGAGCTCAAGAGAGCAAACAATAAGATTTAAGACTTATGACAAGACACATCCTCACTGCTCACCGTGGATTCTGACAGTCACAACAACCGTAAAACCAACATTATGATTTAGTAACTTGGGTGTTGTTCTTGAAAATTACATATTTTGGACAGTTGAAGCAATTTAAAAGCAATTGTTTAACCTCATGTAATTTAGTAATCTCTAGGGTCTAGTGTAAATTAAAATAATAAGTTAGATCCTACCTAAATAATGTGGCTTTCATTCAAACTGTTTAAGAGAAATGTTGAAATGTGATCATTTTGAAGGCTGCAGTTATGTGTTAAATTGATAAGTGTTTGTACTTTTTAGTCCAACAGAACAGAACCACCAACAAGTCGACACAAATGTTTCAACAAACACTGAACATAATAACCTTCATATCGGTGAATGTAGTGAAGTGTCACTCTGATAAATTGAATGTTTTTTTGGCTGACCGTTTGATCTTAATGCGGCGATTTTGTTACCAAGCAACAGCTCAAATGAGAGAGGGAGAAGGAAAAGGAGAAAACTAAGCTCAATGTCATCACTTTTTTAGCCATTACTCTTTAACAAGTTATTCCATCATATGAAGATCTCAATGTTTGTATTATTAGCTATCAATTTTGAAAATGAATGCATATCAATCAATCAATTAATGTTAAACTATATGGAAGTCTATAGTGATGAACTTAAGGCTTTTCAAAATGACATTTTAACTTACATTGAAAAAAGAACTACTAACAGGGTTTGCATTCTCTTTAGAATAAATACTATTGGAAATGAGCGGCTGCAAACACTACAGTTATAATAACTTGAAACCTGTCACATATCTCCCATAAAGCACTTGTGAATGTTTCCAGTAAGTATTACTCTACTCAGCGTTGAGTCAGACCTCTTAGAAAATAAGACGACATGAAGTCAAGGCATTTTTTGTAAACTGTTGATTTTCATGTGACAGTTATTTGGAGTGTTGAAGATTACTTTGTTTAGTCATACAGCTGATTTGTCTCGAAAATTGACCCTTGTTTATATGGTCTGATAGAAACAGAAACAAAAATAAAATGTTCACCAATAATAATACAAGAGAATTCATTACAAATAGAAAATATAGTTGTCCACGATATGCTACTAAGCTCAGTGTAAACATTAAAGTATTGCATTATCAATAAGCAACAACACAACCAAATGTCACTTTTGCAATACTAACTGACAGAGGGAATCAGCAGGCGATGATTGTTCTGTCTCCGCTTTCGTAGAAAAAAAAGAAAATCTAATGACTTCTCTCCCCGAGTGTCAGCTGCACATGGAAAGGCCAAAACACGCTTAACCCAAATCTGCTGAAACAGCTCTCCAGACGTCCCTGGATACTACGGGATATACTTACAAGATTTCACTTCATCCTCAGCTCCGGTCCCCATGAGAGGAGTAACTATTCCTGTCCAGGTAATAACATCCACGAGAAAAAAGGAAAACCAGGAGTTAGGTAAACATTCTCTTTCGAAGTAAAAAAGGAGAGCCCGTTCTGTGTTGTGTGGTACGAGCTGGAGAGCCGGAGAGGCACAGAGGCACTGTAGTCACATATGTTGCCAAAGCCTCTAGCTTGGCAAAGGCGCTCATTAAGCCACTGACAATCATTCCCACAAAGCCCGATCTAAAGGCTATTCACCGGCTGTGTACAAAGGAGAGTGGAGGAATGCAAGTCCCATCTCGCCCCGACCCCTTCAGTGTCATGAAAAGCGTACGCTGCACCTGAAGTAATGCTGAAAAGTGTTTATTTGCAATGATCAACTGAGGAAGAGGGGGGGGGGATATGAAGGGTGGGAGGACAGATCACCTGCTGTGTGAAAACCTGTTAGGTTTTACAATCTTCTTCTGTCATCCGCTGACAATCCTCCTTAATTGCTAATACTGCTGAAGAGGGTCTTTGAGCATGTGCAGGGTATTGTTGGATTAAGGTGGAAGAAGTACTCAGATCTTGTACTTAAGTAAAAGTAGAAGTACCAGGAATACTCTGTTTAAAGTAAAAGTCCTGCATTCAAAATGTTACTCAAGTAAAAGTAGAAAAATATTTGCATCAAAATATAATTAAAGTACCAAAAGTTATTTTTATGCAGATTGGTCCATTTCAGAATAATATATATATGATGTTTTGATTATAATGATTGATCATTTAAGTGTTATCAAAGCTGGTAAAGGTACAGCTAATGTGAATGACTGTGTATACTGCAGGGTAGCTTGTGAATTCAGAACGGAAACCACCACATACTATATTTACTAAGCAATGGATATCTTCCTTCCATGATTCAGTCATCTCAGAGCTGTCAATCGCTTCTGTTAACAACGCTAAAGGAGGAACACTAGAGGCTAATAAAAGACCTGCTGATCTGGTTACATCCATCATGTAAACTATGATTGTACATATGCACACCTTGACGTATTGGTAGATGATTATGAGAGGACCTAATGTCAATTCAGTTACAAAAGATGACATTTTATGTGAAAACAAAACAAAAGTATGGATAATGAATCGTTATGCTAAAATATGTGTGATAGATGAACTCGGAGGAATGCTTATCAAATATGATTTCTGTGGAATGGCAAGATGGTAGGACTCCCTATCCTTTTATTTTGTATGTCTCAATTTGTTTGTATTTACGTATACATAATTTGTATCTGTATATATATATGTGTACTTCTATGAGGGCGACTAGAAAACAATACAAAAATTGGTCAATTAAAAAAAAAACGGTAACGGATTGAAAAATGAATGAAAATGGGTTTAATTTGTAGTATTCAAGTGGATACCCCTTCTCTAGGACTCTACAGATAGACTGGAGGCTGTGAGAGACGTCGGGGGACAGCTCAGTGCACAGAGAGTGCTGAGACTGTCGATAAGAGCCTCGAAAGCCTGAATAAAAAAAAGAAAGCGCAGTCTCTCCCACGACACATGAGGGGGAAGGGAGGAAGCGCCCTCAGTCTGGATGATGTATGGTGTGGACCCTAGACTGAGACTTGGGTTTTAACGGGGAGAAAGGCGGAAAATGAAAGGGGGGAGGAGGGTCATGCTTGAATTATGCTGATGTAGGTCGTAACCGCTGCTGAAAACCAACCAACCAACCAACTCGCAACCACAAATAACAAGGTTATTATCACTCAGCCTTACTGACGCTGACAGCTGGGAAATGGTGGAGGTGAGAATGTGTACCTTTTGATGACTGGACACATATATTCGGTCGTTAAGCAGCTTGTTATCGGCAGTTCAAATTACAAGTGAAAAGAATAAACAACTGTATAAATCAATTCTCCATCAATTCTCTGAAAATGCTATCCTTAAATGTTCATGGAGACATTGTCTTTAAAAATATGTTCTACTCCGAATACATTTAAAGATCATACATCTTAACACACGATAAATCTCAGGTTAAAAGTTCTTGTTTTATTTCGTTTTTTTAATATCAGAGTCAAAGGTTCAGTTGAGTTGGATTGGATATGTCTTTGTATCACTCCATAAATCAGGAAATAACGTATTGTTCACCAATCCTTATGGATAAAGTGTACCATAAATCATGCTATGGATGATATATAAACAAACCACTCAACATTTAGAATACATATAACAATGGTACTGAAATATGTGGTGAATGCGAGTGCTATTGAAGTAGAGCATTGTGGCTCAGAATATCAGAAATAACATATTTTGAGAAAACAGCTTTTTATATTGTCCTACCTACTACAGGTGAATAGGGTCAAACAAAAATAACTAATAGATATCATCATGGAACTTCCCCAGCTGTTCACTTACATCAAGATAATTGTCTTTTTGTACAGTATCACAAGTCCTCTGAATGTGCTACATAAGCAATTTAGTCATTATCTAATGCTCATATTTGGTGAACTAGGAAAACATATTATGGTATCAAAATAACTCAAACTCTTAAATAGACCAGTGCAAGGCCATATCGGCTTGCCTTGGATTTATTGTAATTGACTACTAGTGATTACAATTGAAGTGATTTGCCTTCCTCTGATTTTATATTGAATATCAATCATCTCGACTTAACTTACCGATGTCGCTTTCTCTGCTCGCTATTAAGGTATACAGATGGATTGGCTTTTAATGTGTCTGTTGATTATGTATATATATATATATATATATATATATATATAGGATATACATATTTGTATATATATTTGTATTTCTGTATTCAGGATTGTGGGAAACTGCATTTCGATCTCTCTGTCTGTACACACAAACTGAAAAATGGTCAATAAAGTTGGCTTTGACTTTGACTAATTCAAGCTAGCTTTAAGTTTCCCTTTAGGAAACTGACAGGCAGAGAACATGATGAAGGAAATGCTGAGATTGTGAGCTGTCAGAGAGGTGGGGTGGGGGGGGGGGGGGGGGGACACTGGTCTTTTCATAATGAGAGCAGTCAGCCAAAGTCAGTCACTGAGAACCCTCACTGCCTCTCAGAGCCCATAAGCACTCTTTGAGCTACAACAGGATGGAGCTGCCATTATGGCCACACAAACAGAGGGAAGCCTTATGAACTTTGTACAAATGCTTAGTGCTCCGGGGCTGGACAGATCTGGAAGCCGGGGGAGATGGGTAGGTACCGGGGCGGCTTGCCAGTTCCGAAAAGCTTAGTGTTCATGCAGTGGGGCCAGACAAACCTGACATTGTCCTGGGCACTGCCCCGGGGAAAGCCTCTTCCCCTTTCTCTGCGCTCCCCTGGCTCAAACACACTTCCAGCTCGGCCTGATTCACAGATTTGGACATGACTTATGGAGGCGAGAAGGCAAACATTTATTCACACTTTGAACCGATTGTTAAAAATGCCATAAAATAAGTCGGGGAGAACGAAAGTGTGAAGCAACTGAATAAACGGTCATAAATTAAATTTGGCATATTTTCTTGCTTCACCATGTGTAGTTCAGTCTACTCCAAAAATCGATATATTCACAAGTAGCAATAAGCTTGACTCCAACAAAAATACGTCTCAGGTTACTTTAACAAAAGGTATCAATACAAACACAGAGGGCTGGTTTAATTCAATGATATAATAATACTGATAACAAAGGATTACAATGTTCAAATATATCTATATACACACATAATATATCAAATCATACATTTTAACATGCATCACTTTGGGTGGAACCATACAGACGTTGTATTTAAAATGAGTTAATCCGCTGTGCTCTCGCAGTAAATGTTTACAACACCTTTCATTTATGACACGACTCTTATCTCCCTCGAGCAGCAATCGCTGAATGTTATCTGACCGCTCCAAGATGGAGGGCCGCGGCAATATGGTGTCAGAGGGATTAAAATAATGCTCTCTTGACCTGCTGCCCCCCCCCAACCCCTCCTACGGCAAGAGTGGACCGATTGCGAGGGAAGCACAAAACAAGACCCGTTCAAAAGTGAAGCCATGTTGCCTCTTTTTAGTCTCTAAGAGCGGGGAAAGGAACATGCAGGTGGCTTTACCCACAGATCACAGCCCTGATCAAACTTAAAGGTCCCCTGTTATACTGTTTTTCATCAATATATTATAGCTCTCAGATATATACAAAACATGTCTCTGAAGTGTTTGGCTCCAAACACCAAACAGATCATTGCAGCATCCCATAATCCCCTCTGTTTCAGCCCAGTTTCAAAAGTCTGTTACTTTAGATGAAAATAAGGAGCCCCTCCCCACGCCCCTCTGAGAGATATTTGGTTAAAAAGAACCCAATGGTGCTCTAGGAGGAGATGCAGGTGATAAGGGGGGGGGGGGCTGGTTGGTGATTGGCTAATGGTTACACAAGCCAAAAAATCGTTATGACATCACAAAGTGGCCAAAATCTGATCAGCTCATTTTCAGACAGGTTTTTATATAAATGGATCAGGACAAAAAGAGAGAATCTTTTTTCCTGAAACTTTCAGAATCTCTTTACACAGAGGGGACACATGGTGATGTAGAAGAGACATGAAAAAGAGGGGACACATGTTGATGTAGAAGAGACATGAAAAAGTGGATTTTGCATAATAGGACCTTTAAGGGGTCAGGTCCTCCTTACATTCAGTCAATCTATACTCTCCAGCATGTGAACTTTGCTCTGCATCAGCCAATCAGAAGAGTTTAACCAATGCACCAGCCCTGTGTAACAATCAACAACCAGCAACCAGCAACCAGCAACCAGCAACCAGCAACCAGCAACCAGCAACCAGCAACCAGCAACCAGCAACCAGCAACAATGGTCTGGCTTGTTTTGTCACAATCTGTCTGAGTATTTTCTGCTTTACTTTGAAATGTCACAATCTGTCTGTGTTTTCCTTTTTCAGTTTGAAGAGTGTTCACCCCCTGTGTTATGTCTGTTTTTACTTCCTGTCTCCGAGTTGTTCCCTCCTGTTTCATTACCTGAATGCCCCTGTGTTTTTCTGCCCGGTTCTGGTTTCTGATCCTCGTTTGCTGTTTGTAAAGATTTCTGTTCTGTTTTTTCAGCCTTGCCCTATAAGCCCAAGAACTGAACATTAAAGGATTTGTTTGTGCACTTCCTGCATTTGGGTCCGTCCTTCATTGCTCTCGCTTGGCATGTTTGAAGCTAATATATCAGCACTTTTCTGTCCTCAGTCTGAATCTTCATGGTTTATTGTACTTATTGTAAGTCGCTT